GGAAATGAAAAATGTAGTCAAACTAGTATTTAGTTCATCATATTTTCAAACATTAGTGACATCGGGAAAGCAAGTGTTCTACTTCTTTCTAAAACACTCGTCAAAGGGTAGTTTGAATAGGCCCTGCCTCCTCCTCGCGTGACTTACAGCACTCAGTGAGCATCTCCTCTGCGTGTGGCCGGATGCTACGTTCTGTTCCAAGTGTTGATCGTTTCCTAGCGTTTTGTCCTTTGCGTGAAGTGTCTTCATGAGTTCCTTTTCCGGCACAGTTTTTTGCCGGCATCGCTTCCTCTCGGGCATCTTCGTCCTTTTTGTCACGGCCAGTTTCCTCTGAACGCCAGTAAGCCCGCTTTCATCGCGTCCTCCGGCCACACGCCTGCTTCCCACAGCCACACACGCGTCAGCATCTCCGCGCCGGGCGGCTTCCGTAACTCCGTTTATGTTCGACTGAGTCATCGTGTTCACTTTTGTTGCTGCATTTTCATCTTTGCTCTCCAATTCCCTCTTTATTATCCACTTCTATAAAACGTCGCATTGGGCTTATCACAACTAAGTACGTTTTCCTGTCCGGTTGTGAATAGAATAACACGTGCATTGACCAGGGGCTGACGGAAGGGGTGTGATTGGTCGCTGCTCATGGTGCATGCTCATGGTGCACGTCTGTCATTTATGCAGTGCTTGTGGACTTGAAGAATGAGCATCAAGTTTGTGCTTTATGCAGTTTCTCACAGTCAATCGTAGTTGAAAATTCGAGCCATGTCATTGGGAGTCTGGTGTTATTTAACTAAACCATTGTAACAAATCCATTCACGTAGGAATCATCAAATCCAGACACCAAAATATAATACCTGCTGATGCTCCCTGATTAGAAGTAAAAGCTCTGAGTTAAACTTGTATTTCCACTCGCAATGGCTGACTTTCATATAAATATATAGAAATACAAAACGTGTGTATACATATATACATATCATGTATGTATTGTCATATGACTATACATATATTTTCTAATGTGTATATGTGTGTGTATATATATATATGATTATATGTATGTGTATAATCATATAGGTTATTCCACCTTAAACTTTTATTTATTTGGAGACCTTTGTCACAGTACACTTTTCCTGGTCATTAACTTCATTTTTTTCTGGGCTTTTTTTGTAGCTCATTGTTCCTTCTGCTAATTATTGTACATTACTACTGGGTTATAGTTTCTTGTTAAGCAGATGTAACTCTCCTAGACTGCAAAGCCAGCACGGTTATTAAATTTAGTTCTGGTACATAGATAGTCCTCACAAATATTAGTTTCCTTATGTCTTTGCTATCTCCAGTCAAGATAGCTGAGCATATTAGTGACTGAATATTTTTAGGTTTTAATTTTAACTTTGAGTCTGGAGTGCCTGTGTCAGCTCTATGCCTGTCGGCCTGCTTTTGTGTTAGATGACCGCTTCGTTATGTACCCAGACTTCACCCGCTTTTACTTGAGTCGCCTCTAAGACTTTTTTTGCCTTCCTTACATGTTTTCGGTTCTTGTTTTTATAGTTGTGGCCTATCTGTTCTAATTCTCAAAGTCCAGTTTTCTTTTCTCTGATCACAAGCTTAGCTTTGATTGTAGCCTATGAACTTGTACATTTTCATGAATTATACCTCAAAGTAGGTTTTTTCTTATTAAATAAGAAATGCTTGTATTCATTAAGGATTATTCTCTAATTATAAATTCTTTAAATCCAATTGAGACCATCTAAGAAGCTTCTGTTTTTTTCCCCCGATATAAAAAAAAAATCCTATGTTAAATTTAACCTATATGGCCACATATTCATATTGTGCATGGAAGAAAAGGGAAAAACATATCTTTTTACAATTTTGATGCTGAGATTCGTTGTTATTGGTAGTTGGCTTATGGAAATCTGAGATTTGGGGCTCTTTAATATTAAAATTGGCTATAATATTCCTGTACGAAAATTTTTAGATAAGCAGGAGAACGTCCCAAAATAATTTTTATACATATGGTTTTAAGTGTTTGTGTGCGTGTCTCATTTTTGTTTCAGTTACTTTCCTCACCACTTTCAACGTTGCAAAATAATGCTGTTAGAGTTTCATTTCAGACAGCAGATCAAATTATATAAAATGTTATGAAATTATATATATAAACCATACATTTAAGAAGGAGAGGATGGTTAAGGGAGGTATCCTAATTGACCTATAATTGACTTTAAATTCTGATACCAATTCTGTAACATCGATGGCAAGAAAAATTGTTTTATCATTTCGCTGAAACCATTAACATCAGTCCGATTTTGACTAGTCAGTTACAGAGTAAGATCGAGAAGGGAAACGTAAGGCCCAGTTTCCAGCTTATAAAAGACTTAGAAAAAGCTGGCTCAGTGAAAAAGCACATTCTCCTTGATCTCTTGCTTAAAATTATGTAAACGGCTTATGACGTACATTGCGTCGGAGATGATTTCGCTAATGAGAGAGGTAGAGGCCACATGGTTCCAGGGCGAGGGAGGTGGAACCGTGGCCTCTTCTTTTCGCATTTGCAGGCAAGGACACGTGAATCTCCCTCCGCTGGAGTTCAAGCCGGCGCTGATGCTGGAGACCTTCAGCATCAGCGCGGTGGTGATGGAGAGGTCGGTGTGCGCCCCGCAGGGCTCGGCTGGCGCGCTCCCCTTTCACGACCTCAGCAAGCGCTACTACAGCACCTTCCACTGCAACTTCACCATTTCCTGCCAGTCCATCAGCCAGCACGTCGACATGGCTTTGGTCCGCCTCATCCACCAGTTCAGCACGATGATAGACGACATCAAAGCCACGCAGACTGACATCAAACTGAGCAGGTACACCGCCGGATCCGCCTCCCCCACCCCCACCTTCAAGACCAGGAAACACCGGGATTTCCGCTCGTCCGACTTCAGCCGCAGCTCGAGAGGAAGTCTCAACGGTGGCAACCGAGTAAATAACGCGAAGAACAAACGGACCAGCAGTGAGAATAACAAAAAGGAATCTCGCAACAAAAACTCGTTAGGGAGATCGGAGCGGAGAACTTCGAAAGTGTCCAGAAAAGGCTCCAAGGATGTGGTGGACCACATGACCATCCACATGGACGACTCGGATTCCATCACCGTGTCGGAGCAGAGCGAGCCCTCGGCCGAGTGCTGGCAGAACATGTACAAACTGCTCAACTTCTATTCGCTTATCTCCGACCCGACAGGAATACTGGAGAAATCTTCCGAAACGTTTGGACCGGCCGGTAATGGATGTTTTCGTGGTTTTAAAATGTCTGTTTTGAATTGCAGTGATACTGGGCTGTCCCTCATGCCCTCTTCATGCTGTAAGTGCGTAATGGAAATGCGAAGAAGTCGGCAGTCACCCTGGGGGAGAGCGTGGTCGTGGCGATCAGGGGTCCTGCCACCCCCGGCCCGTCCTTTCTCCCCTTATGCACCTTGCCCTCGTGGGATCCGGATCTCGGACTCCCTTCTGCTTTCAGGGTGACCGAGGGAAAACTCTGGAACATTTAGAAACTCGTTTTGGTGGGGAGAGGAGGAGGAGGAGGTCTGGGATGCGCAGGGTTCTAGAAAGGCCTCAGGATGTGGGGACCGCCCCTTCCCCACGCTTTCGCGGCTAAACCCCCGCGTGTCTGCTTGCTCACGAAGGAGTTCGGAGCCCGACGGAGCCCACGTGCAGAGTGGTGTTTGAGAACGAGCAGGATGGCGGCAGTGTGACTAAGACACAGAGGAAGCGCAGCCTGGTGACCGCAGAGCCGCAGCACGTCACCCTGATCGTGTTCGGGATCGGCATGGTGAACCGGACGCACCTGGAGGCGGACATCGGCGGGCTGACCATGGAGTCGGAGCTCAAGAGGATCCACGGCAGCTTCACCCTCAAGGAGAAGATGAAAGGTACAGCCGCGTCCCAGCACTGGTGGCCGCTGTGACGCGGGCTGGTGTCGTGTCCCCCGACCCCAGCTGGGCAGTTTGCACCAGAAAACGAGCTTCCCGTGTGTCTGGGTCAGGAGGGCTAGTTTATGTGGTTTTGTTTGCCCATTCTTTTTGCTTTCAAATAATTTTCCAAGTTCTCTGCACTGAGTGTTACTTCTAAGACATAAAATGTCTGTAGGCTCTGTGAGGCATGGATGGCACATTAAGCTGTATATTTAGCATTATTCCAATTTTGATATATAATATGCGTGTATATAGGAATACATAGAAATAAAAACCTCCAAGAATTTTTTAAAAAAGTAGTTCCAAAATGTAGTTTAAATTTCATTGTAACTTTAAAATGATCTTTTGTTACTGAACATATGAATAAAATGCAATGTTAATGTGAAGTGCAATTATCTTATTTCCAGAATTCATATAATTGTTTTTTTTTTATCACATTTAAGATGTTCTACATCAAAAGATGACTGAGACATGTGCCACTGCTCATATTGGTGGCGTAAATATTGTGCTGCTTGAAGGGATTACACCAAATATACAGTAAGTGTGTTGCTCTTCATTCTCGAACTTGTTACAGTTTTATATGGAACTTAAAATTCATTGGATAAATCCCACACCTGCTGAATTTTGAAATTTATGTCTCTCATGTTGCCAGATACTGTGATTTTGTCATTAAGAATATCACTAAATGTTTTCAGAACAATGAATTTTTTTATTTCTAAAACTATTTACACCTCCCCTGCCCTCCTAAAAAACTGACTCCCAGTACATTTTAAGATTGTGTAACAGGAAGAATGATTATAGTGCAAATGTTGATTAAACGTATAAGACGCTAAAGCTCACACAATCCTTAGAGTTAAAATTACAGTCAAAGAGTATAGGCTCTCTGGCTCATAAGTTAAGTGATCATTTCCCATCTTCATGCTGTATTTCAGAGCTTCCTCTCTCCATTTTGCATTTAAACCATTTAACAGCGAAGCCCGTGTGACTCTCGTCATAGATAGGGAAGCTTTTTATAGTGAGGATGCCATACGTGTCGGTTTCCTTTGGATTCTTTGCTCTTTTCCTTGTAAGTTCTGTGCTTGATCTGTTCAGATTTGCTCTAAGGATTATCTATACGTGGCATGCAGATCACTGCTGCGTTATTGACACACCAAACCGCTGGCTGTGTTCATAAACTTGGCCTCGTATACCCTCATGCCTCACGTCCTCAGTGCAGCAGTTATGCTGTGACTGCAAATGCATTTAGGTCAGATTTCGAGAATTTGCTTTTATGTTACAACCAGTTAAGGTGGGCCTACTAGAGCATCTGACATGCCGAATACTGACTAAGCAGAAGATTGGGTTCAACATTATAAAAATTAAATATTAGTCGTAGATTGACTGGTTACAGGTCTCTGCATCACATTTTAAACATGGATCCTATGATGGCTGTCTTGGGGAACGTTTCCCGGAATGCACGTTTAAGTCTTCCCCAGGGCGGATGGACCTGTAAGTCTAGAACCAAAGAAAGCGTGTTCATTAAAGCTGCCTGAGTAGTCCATTGCATTTCTCCCGCAGTCTTTCCAAAGACCAGGACCGTCCAGGAGTCGGGAGAGACAGGCTCCTTCCGACCCTTCACTGTGGGAGAAGGGGGTTAGGTAGTAACTGCATTGTAGCAGGTGCCTGCTGTGGGCCAGGAGCCGCCCACGGATTATTCCTTTTCATCCTCACCTCGGTTTGTGGACCGGGGTACTTTTATCCCTTTACAGAACAGTAAATTGGGTTCAGAAAGATCAAAGTGTTTGCCCGAAATGCTTCAGGCAAACTTCCACCTCGCATGGCGCCTCTGCAGATAGCCTTGGCAGGCCCTGGCTTCCGTGATTCCGTGGGTGACTTTGAAGTACCTTAACTCATTCAAAAAGTAAAACAAGTTTCTGTGGATGTCCCATCATTTTACTAAGTCCTCTTGGACTTCTTATCTCTATTATAAATTAGCTCTTAAAAGAAGGGCATAAATAGTCTCTAAGCTTGCAAAATATACTTATAAAACACATTTTTAAAAGAGTATTATATACTTGATATTTCTTGCCTTTAAATCAAAACCCAAGCAAAGATCCCTTAACTTTCTTATTTGAAAAGTAAAAGTTATTATTCACTGCCAAATTTGGGTAGCGTTGGCTTTCTGGATTTATTCTTCGGCTTTTTGTTTCCAATTTCAGTTAAAGGAAATGGAACTAAAAAAAAAAAATTTGAAAAGGTTCTTCAATGGAAAATTTAAAAAGTGAGAAATAAAACTTTCCAGACAGTTGAATGTATTGTGACTAATTTATGCGTGGATGTTTATCTGCTTCCTTTTTGTTTTCCTGCTTCCTCTTGACTCTTCGTCTTTAGACTGGAGGATTTTCCTACGTCTCCTACAAGCACAGCCAAACAAGAGTTTCTGTATGTCGTATTCTTCTTTTTCATGGGCTTTGTGATTGATACCGTTTGAATAGTTTTAAAGATAAATGTTACAGTTATCTGCATGGCTGTGAATGTGTGTAGTTAGTTATTACTCTGTAGCTTTAATATAGACCCTTTTATAGATTAAAGCTTCCTGGTATTCAAGGAAAACACGCAGGTAAGGGCCACCTTTTTGGTAATTCATAGCTTGCTGTTGTAAAGTCGTGACACTGTAGTTGTGTGTTGTGTGCGCTTTTTTAGATATGTTATTGTTAAACTTTTTGTTATTGCAATTCCTTGTTCATGTTTGATGTGATATTGAAGCTAAAAAGTTTTACTTTGCAAGAGTTTTCACTAATTGCAAAAAATAATTATTAAAACACTAACATATGATTAATGTGAGAAATATGTCCACATCTCACCCTTATAATTCTGTTTTTAAGTTGGGGAGAGTTTACTGCTCTGTTGACAGTAAACTATATGTATGGCTTTTACTGTGTACACGAATGGCTTGATTTGACTCATGTATATCTGCTATTTTATGGTAATGAGCTATATCCTGAGTGCTGTATGTAAATGTGACATGAGTCATCACCATGTCAAATTAATGTTATTTAGCAATGGTTATTTCTTTGGACATTTTCTATAAAATTTGAATATGCTTAATAATTATATGAATCTGTACATTGTTCCATGCTGGTAAGATTATCATACGTGGTGAGATTTATTTCACTGCATATTGATAACAGGCCAGAGACAAAATATCAGTTTACTGCCCTTTGTGGTAATCCGTATCCTTCATCAGCCAATTAAAAGTACTCAAAAAGAACAGGTACACTATTATTAAAGTAGAGAAATGATTTTTTCCCCTAGAAATCACTCTTCCATATTAGTGTCATCTTAATAGGTGTTGAAGAGAATCTAATTCCACTGTGGTAGTCATAATAGACTGAAAAGACATTGTTTCTTTCCTTTTTATCACTGAGTTCTCTGACTGTATTACAAAAATAATTGATACTATATGACTTTACAGGGGATGCTTTTAAATAGCTTAAGATGACATTTGCATCTGCTCAACAATTCTTAGGTTACATATTATGGCCTGGGCAATATGTTAAGATTCAGGGAAGTAATAGTAAGCAAATGAGAAGTGGTCCCTGTCATGATATCACTTATGGCCACCCCCTCTTCCCCTTCAGGGTTTCCTTCTGAGAGAGTTAACATGTGAGGCACAGTTGCCAAATGTGAAAGAGAGTTCCAGTGATTTTCGCTGACTAAATAACATGTCGTCACAACTCTCTCTGGCCCCAGTGCAGAGTTTTTCAGGTGAAACCGAATTGAGGCAAGCGGCTTGGACCTGGATGCTCACGTGGGTGGGGTGGGGCAGGGTGGAGATACCGCAGAGACAGTGAGGCCCCAAAGCAAATTCTCCAGTCATTCACTCAGCCTGTTCCATGGACAAGGATGGCCCTTTAAGGCCCTGTCACCTGGACACAGGAAGTAAAAGATGGGAAAAGGTCCTTGCCTGATAAGGCACTGTGGTCGTCGTAACTGAGGCCCACAGTAAAGCTTACCAATTTTTACCAATGTAGTCATCACTCATTAGGAATTGGACTTCTATCATTTCTTTGTCATTCATTAAAAATAGAAAATCCAAGTTAAATTTCTTCTTTCCTGTTAATTTCTTTTAGCATATTTTTATATATTAGATGATTATTAGATTAATGTATTTGATTAGATTTTAAGAAGCATAGTATTTTTATCTTTTTAAAAATTTATCGAGATGACATTGGTTAATAAAATTATATAGGTTTTATATGTTAGGGATTTGTATAGATCCCTAAAATAAGTTGGAGGGGAAAAGAAGAATTCTGAGTGGAGAAAAAATAAAAATGGAATTTCGTGTGCTGTGTGTGAGCAATGTCCGTGTTCGTGCACATTTCTTCTGTAAGTTCTTCATTAAAATAGAATAATATTTGGTGTGCGCAGGCAAGCAGTGTAAAATGTGTTTTGGTATGCTAGAAAACATTTCTATGTGATATAAATGCATGAAAAATCTTAAGTCATTTAGTCCAATGAAAACTTAAAAACATACGTATGCTCTCAAGTACTTTTTCAAACTTTCTTTTTACTCGGCTGCATTCTCACCGGCGTCCCCCCCTCTCACTAGAACTGTGGTGAAATGCAGCATCGCCAAGTCCCAAGCCCTGTACAGCGCCCAGCGGGGGCTGAGGACTAACAACGCTGCCGTGTTCAAAGTCGGGGCCATCAGCATCAACATCCCCCAGCACCCGGCCACGCTGCACAGCATGATGGTCCGAAGCTCGCACCAGCTGTCCAAGCAGATCTCCGACCTCATCCGACAGCCTTCGTCACTGTGAGTCGCGCCACCCAGCCCTGTCCTCTGTGCCGTGCCTCAGGCCGTCTCTGCTGTGGTAGCCGTAGTGTGGAGGAAGACAGGGTTATGTCTAAGTATCGACCATCAGGGACAGTGGGACAGGTGGAAAGTAGCCAGACACAATCGTGGGTAGTACTGGACGTTATGGAAGCACTGTGACGCAAGTATGATGGTCAGGGCTCTGTGTCGCATCGGTGGAGCTTAGGGGACCCTAGAGGTCTGTGGGCATCATGAGAGGTTCTTACAAAAGTGACTGACAAGTCCTAGGACCGTGTCAGTTAATCCTTGTTTACTTTTAGCTCGTAGAAAGGTATGACTGCGTAGGTTTAAAAACTTTCAGTGGCCATTTATGTCCCACGCGTGGTTTTGTGCTGTCCCTCATACGCAGTGATCGTACGTGGTTCAAGGAAGGACGTGACCACGTCACATGTGTTTTAAAGGGCAGCAGGTTGGACCGTGGCCCATTGGCCTTTATTCCCTGTGTCTGTAGCCCTTGTTCCTGGGTCTGCGATCCTGAGCTTCATTGCTGGTCCCCAAAGCTATAACTAATGAGTAATAAAAATGTAATAAGTGAAAGGTAAAAAATTTATGTTTTCTTTTGCCTGTCCTATAAGGTAAAAAGTCATTAGTGTATCTTTTGATAGTGTCCTAAAGCAGTGTGGTTTTCCAGTTGTTCTATGCGGATCTCTAATTCTGATATAACACTCACTCAGGTCTGTAGTTGCCTAAGTATTTACAATTTAACTGTTTCTCCTGTCAGTGGAATATGGAATCCATGAGCCCTGTCTTAAAATACTCTAAGGCATTTTTTCTTATTATAACATATTGACAGTAAAGTGTAGTAGTTAAAAAATCAGACTCTGGAGTTGGACTGAGTTCAAATCCTGGTTTCACCACTTTCTAGCTGTGCCTCCGCATTTACAAAGTGGAGACCATGGCATCTCCTCACAGGGTGTTTGAGATAAATGATACATGATGTAAAACACAAAGCGCTAAGAACAGCCCCCGGCGCGTAGCGAGCGCTCAGACCATCGTTCCTGTGCGTGTCGGTGGCGGTAATAGTGGCAGAAGTGGTGTTCGTAGTGTGACAGGCATCAGTGCAGTGCATGGTGGCCGAATTGTGGAATTCGGATCAGACAAACCAGAGTTTAAACTCTAGCTTCACATTGATGATGTGGACGGCCTTGGCATTGTGATAGTCCAGCTGATATTGTTATTACTTCTTTTTGTTTACTTTTCTGGATCATTGTTTTTCAATGGCTGTTTTTAGGAAGTCTTAATATGATCTGATATTAGAAAGAAAACTTCTGTTTATAGTATACTGTGACTTTATTGAGGACTCTGGTGATTTCATACAGTCAAATGGTAGCTGTTTCAATTGTCTTAATTTTATACAGTAAAATGGTAGCGGCTCTAATCGTGTCTCCTTACATTACTTATTTGCTTTGTAGCCCGCAGCCTGCAAAAGAAGATATTGCAACCCCCCTCCCTTCTGAAAAAACTCCGACAAGTGTTAATCAAACGCCTGTTGAAACAAACGAGTTTCCTCAGCTACCGGAAGGCTTGGAAAAGAAGCCTCTCGTTCTTAAATTCAGCGCCATGCTCGATGGCATAGCGATTGGGGCAGCGCTTCTGCCGTCTCTGAAAGCGGAGTACAAGATGGGGAGGATGAGGAGTCACGGAATGACAGGTAACGGGGCTTGGGTTCAGCCTCGCACAATTTATCATCGGTTTGAGAAATTCGAAATACTTCGATGCAAAGGTAAATTTGATTTTATAGGTATTCTATGAAAATTTAAATAATCTTAATCGTAACACTTAAATTTCATTAATGGTGTTCCCCAGCCGAGCAGAACTGCCAGCGCACCTCCCTCAAGGGCCAGCCCGGACCCCGCTGGCGCTGGCGCTCTTTAGAGTCGTTCAACCGTCGAGGCCATTTCTCCAGTTTAAACTTAAGCTGGATAAATTTCTACCTCTTTCGGGTTCCTGTAGGCTGAATAACTTGGTTTATTTTCACATTAGGTGCATTTAGCTCAAATCAAAGGTAATTTGACTTCCTCAAAATAGCTACTTCCCTCAGGCCCTGCGATCCTTATATATTCTGTCCCAAACATTCTTCACTGTTGTTTTTTTATTCTGAAATGTATCGTATATACAAGTGTGAATTATATGTACACAGTTTAAAGAATAATACAGAGCTGTGAACTCCTCAACCCTTTAACTAACCCAGCAATTAGAACGTCGCCAGTACTTTGACGACTCCTTCAGGGATGTTATCATTGCCGGGGAGCAGCCACTGTCATTGGCTCTGTGTCGCCCCCCTTTGCTTCTCTTTATAGTCTTGCCCCGGAGGTGTCTACTCGTAGCTGACTCAGAGCTTACTGTTGCCTGTTTTGAACTTTGCTTATATGGAACGCCACTGACATCTTTTTAACTTGGAATATGTTTGCTTACATCTTGTTTGAGCTTCATCTCTGTTTCACGTGTCTGGTTCCCTCATTTTTCACTGAAGCACAGCACTCCATTAAGTGATGCTATCACTTCATTTATACGTTCTGCCGTGGACGGACCTTTGACCCATTCTCTCTTCAGCTGTGACAGTCGCTCGGATGTGCGTCTACTGGCGCACACATGCAGGGGCTTCTCACGGGCATCTGCCCGGAGGGGGCGCAGCGAGCCCGTAGGTAAATGCCTCGTTGGCCGCTCGAGGAGGTACGAGCTGCTCTCCAGGCTGCGCGTGCTGCCAGTGTCCCTCCCCCAGATTAGACGGGAGTCCCCTCTGCTCCACGTCCTGTCAACGCTTGGTGTTATCTGGCTTTTAAAGTTGTGCTTGTCTGGTAAATGCAGAATGGTAGCTCACTGTGGTTTTAATTTATATTTCTGTAATTACTAGTGAAGCTGAATTTTTTTAATATAATCAAGAGACCCTTATATTTTTTTATATGAATGCCCGTTGATGGTTTTTGTTTGTTCGTTTGCCCATTTTACCATTGAGTCATTTGTATTTTTTGGTTCTCAAGAATTCTTTATATATTTTATATATTAAACCTTTGATATATGTTTAGCATAGATTGTCACCCAGTCAGAGGCTTATAATTTCACTTTGAGTTGTCCTTTGATCAATAGATACTAATTTTAATGTGATCGAATTTACCATTGTTTTCCTATACCATGTGTATTTTCATATCTGAAAGAAATTCTTCTAGGGTCATGAAAATATTCTATTTCTGTTAAATGTTTTGAAGCTTTACCTTTTATTCTTAAGTTCTAAATCTAGATGGATTTGATTTCTTTCTTTAATTTTGTATGGAGTAGTATGCATAAGCAATTATCTCAGCATCATTTATTGACTAATCTGTTCTTTTTTCAATGATCTCTAATACACTCTGTCCACTCGTGAGAGCTGTTCCGTGTCCTCTGACGCTTCGGTGGCCTCTTGGACCAGGACCACGTGGCTACCTGACTTCCCCTTTTTCAGGAGTTGTGCTGGTTATTTTGGTTCTTTGCTCCTTCAGTCATATTTTAAAATCAGTTTGTCTAGTTCTCTGAAAAAGTCTGTTTGGATTTTTATAGGAATTTAATTGAATCTATAGGTGTACTTGGGAAGAATTGATAATATTGATGTTGAGAATCAATACAATATTTAACATTTCTATTCCCAGATATGTCTATTTCTCTGTCTCTTTAGGTCTTCATTGTTTTTCTATGAAGTTAAAAATGTCTCTACTTAAGATTTTTGTGCATCTTTTGCAAGAAATATTTATTTACTTAGGACGTAGGTACCTTACGTTGTGGTCGTGTAGTTATTACGAATGGTGTATTTTGAAAAATAGCATTTTCTAAACTTTGGTGGTATGTACAAGGGTGCTTGATTCTTTTATGTTAATCTTCTGCTCAGCAAACAAGTTAAACTGTTTTATTATTGGCGTTTCTTAAGTAGATATTTATGCCATATGCAAATACTTTTGTTTCATCTTTTCCAGTCTTTATGCCTTTTTCTTTTTTCGTCTTATTGTGTTTTTACTACAGTGTTCAGTAAAAGGGGCATTGCGGCCATCCTTTCATACTCCCATCTTTTAAAGGAAATCAATATTTTACCAATGAATATGATGTTTGCTGTAGGTTTACACTAGAACTCCCTTTATCAGGTTGAGAAAAATTACTTCTGGTGTACTGAGGCTTTCTATGAAGAATAATTGGTAATATTATCAGACACTTTCTTCAGCATCAATTGAAATTAAACTTTTTCTTTTTTCTGTTAACATGATAAATTACATTAATAATTTAAAAACACATATATACATGTCTGAATACATACATATGTGTGTCTTTATGTACACATGCATATGTATATATTCCTACCCCTAGCATTTTAGGTTTTCTTTGTGGAGAGGACTTTTTCTGGACATCTGCATCTCTTTGTTTCTAGAATCAGGAACACTCCGAAGTGAGTCCCCAGAGGCAGAGTCAGCAGTGTGAGGCTTTCAGAGAGGGGCTGACAGTGGCCAGGCTCATCTTGGTCCCTTATTCAGGGCACCCATGAAATATAGGAGTCAACAGAAGCAGCAAGTCAAGGCCAGAGAAACCGTTTAGAACTAGGAAGACATAAATATTTAGGAGCAAAGTAAATGTATTGTCAAATATCCAGACAGATGAGAACTCAAAATTCTTGAAATGAAGGAAAAGGGCAAAAACAGTAGCAGAATGGCTGCGCCAGTGACGGCGATGGCCGCGGCCGAGGCCCAGGCTAGCCTAGGTCCCCTGATCGCTGACGCAGGGCCACGATGCTGCGGCAGCTGCTGAGTCGCTGGCCCCCCCGGCAGCCTGCAGGTGGGAGTCGGGGGTCTGCCTGGTCGGGACCCCGCTGGCTGTCCACAGGCAACCAGTTGGGGAGAGAGCGCCTTTCTGTTAATGGCCAGCTCACTCCAAGTATAAACATTACTTCATGGTGAGCGAACATAGTGAATGTGACATAAAGGAGCGACCTTTAATGCGCATTTTGAAAAAGAATTATTTCTGGAACAATCGAGAACACTAGGAATATATAACAAATTATTTTATGTCTTATATCCCTGTATGTGTAGACAGAGAAAGCTATTGAATGACGTTTGGGGAGAATAACGCACAAGAAACATCAGCAGGTCGTGTGGGTGGGTAGAGGGGTGCGCGTGAACGTTATGCGGCATCTGTAATGGACAGTAACAGATCCTGATTTAGTAAGGCGTCTGCTACCCCACAGTGCCTTCTTCTTTTTAAATTTGCTTGTTTTAACTCTTCTGTAATAAGAGCAGTTTCTTCCTGTTCTACCCTCCGTGAACGAAGTGCTTCTCTAGCGCCTAACACAGGGTTGGGCACCTAGTAGGCTTAATAAATGATTCTTGCCGGCTGAGCAGTACTGACCGACTCTTCAGTCACCATCCATGTACTTGCAGATGGGAAATGCAAGCACAGTTAAAACATCCTTTTCATGTCTTTCAGTTTAGGTTTTGGGGTATGCATACATTTTTCTCAGACACCATTTTTAAACACAGTAAGGAACGAACATGTGAACGAGCACCTGAACAAACAGTAACTTCTCTTATTTCTTACAGGTGCACAGACCAGGTTTACTTTTGAGCTGCCAAATCACAGACTGCGTTTCACTTCAAAAGTTTCTGCCACAGATATGTCGACCATTCCTCCTTCTGCCAGTCTCAACCTCCCCCCCGTGACCATGTCCGGAAAGTACGTGATGGAAGAGCATGACAGCTACTCAGACCAGGTGTGGAGTGTGGACGAGCTGCCTTGCAAACAAGGCTACTACCTGCAGGGGAATTACCTGCGCTGTGTGGCAGAAGTAAGTTTACTTTGTAATGTTTTTACTCTTCATAATGAGAAGTCTTCAAGCTTTAGGTGTACCAAGATATATAGTGATCCAGACTTTTAAGGCAAATTGTTAAATCATTTATTCCTACAGAATTCTATACCAAATCAGGTATGTGTGTGTGTGTGTGTGTCACATGCACACACATGTGCACATATATGTGTCTGTCTCCCTGTAGTTTAATTTAAACATAATTTTTTATTGTCTTTGAATTTATATTTCTTACACTGGGTTTCACATTCATCTCTGTGCCGTTTTCATGGTTCATTTTATTATAAGAAGCTTAATAACATCTAATATCAAGTGAACTCATCAATGCATTGACTCATGCAGTCCCCCGAAGTAGATGTATTTGTTCTCATTTTATAAAGGAAGAAACCGAGTCTTTAGGGAGTTGCGTGATTCACCCAGATGTGCGTGCTTATTAAGAACGATTTAAAGGCCGTACGGGGGTAAATAAGTTCAGTCAGATCCACAGACTAATTTCTTCACTAAAGGAGGTGGAGAGCCAGCTTACCTGATTCCATTGTTAGTTTTTCACTTTCTATCTGTACAACCGGTACCATTTTAAAGAGCTTTTGGGTACGTGTTTTTTGCTTGAGTTGTGGTAAGCAGATCATCCGTTATTCCCCTGACCGATAGAGTAGAAGGTTGAAGCTGCGGGGGTGTCCCTGACTTCCCCTGACTCTCCCTGCTGTCGGGTGAGAGACGCAGGAGTCACGCCCTGCTCTCCCTTGGCTTACTCTGTCTGTTAGTCAGAACAGTTCAACCTCATCAAAAGCACTTTACTCTTCACTTGATGAATTTTTCTCTAGAATCTGAAGCATCTGTAAGAATGCTCTTTGCGTTCTTTGCCAAAAATATTACACCTCTGGGGACATATTAAGTCTGACTCACCTCTTTAGACCCTGCGTGCCTCAGAGATGAAACAAGTGTACTAAAAAAAAAAAAATAGTGTACAGGATTCTAGAAGGCAGATATTTATTTAAAAGATAGATTATCAAGCCTATTTCATCTGAGCTCTCAACTCTGAACAATAAATGCCCCAAACTGGTTAGCAATACTATTATTAATGCTTTATCCGACAGAAAATAAAACAAATCTAATGCAGTATATTACATGATTCCTTACTACTAATAGCTATAAAACTAATAATATAAAGTTTTTAATTGGAGCAAAACACAATCCAAAATTTATCAAGAATGCAATTAATTGTAAACATTTAGAAGAACATAACATTGCAGCCCTCTGAGAGTTCCTGTTTTACTGTGGCCTGAACTAGATACACGTGCTGATCATCTTTCCCCATTTTGTACTATTAAATACAAAAAAAAGTGCCCAGTGCTACGTAGATTTCTCACTTATGAAAAGACCGCCAAATCTATTTTGCTCTCTTAATTTTTTATCAAAATATGAATGCTCTCAACGTGGCCAATTTTGAAGCACCACCTTGCTCCTAATTCGGTCTAGCTTGATGATAATACCTGACATCAGTTAGGGCCTGCTCCTTAGTCTGTTTATTAACTACTACTCGCCAGACATGTAATGCCTTATGCTCATCATAGGACACATATTATATTAAAACAGAGTCTATCCGATTTGCTAATTCATGCAAATGTAAGCGTCACGAGGGTCATGGTTGTTTTTGTTCACAGCTGTGAACATCAGCACCTAATGCAGTACATGGAGTAGATGGCAATAAATATTTGAATGAGTGAATAAACTTCACTGATAATGACACTTGTCTATAGTTCTTAAACTGTAGCGGTCATTAAAAATAAATATTACTCTAGAGAAAATTTCATTTGTTTTCAAAAGACTGCCCATATCTTTTTGGCTACTGTTATTTTTTCAAAAAATTGGGAGAATGGCCCATAATGATGTCTGGCCAGTAAAGTATTGGGAACTCTGAATATTTTTAACTTTTCTTTGGTATATTGATTTCAAATAGTATGTAGATAATCGTCCATAGAGTTGGGGATTATTTATGTGAACAAAAGATGTGTTTAAAACTAATGCAGTCAACAATGTTAACCTAACGCTCTGATTTTATTTGGCAGGTTGGTTCTTTTGAACATAATCTCACAACTGATCTTCTAAACCACTTGGTGTTTGTGCAGAAAGTATTCATGAAGGAAGTTAACGAAGTAATACAAAAAGTGTCTGGTGAGCTGGCCTGGGCCCTGCGAGTGTAGCACATGTAGCAGGTCTTTCTTCCCACTGGTCTTTCCTGGGTCTCGGCCTGAGTGTTGATCCTGTCATCTGGGTGTGATTGTTGCCTGAGTCCCTGAAAACAGTGTGTTCCTTTTCCGGCTTTCCCACCCACAGATTCTTTTGCTTATTACCTTTGTCATGTGTATTATATACATTTAGGATTTATAAACTCCATAAAGCCCTTTTATGCTTCCTCTCCAAAGAGGGAGAGAGAAGGAATTTAGGGTACGCCTGCTAACCAAACCAGTCCTGCTCACGTGGAGACAAAACGCAGGTCGGTGTCAAGCTCTCCGCCTCAGTGTGTAGCGGATGGTAGCTGTGCGCTGGCCACATGGAAAATCGCTTACAGCAATCCCTATATTTTTGCTGCCCTCAAGAGTAGATTACACTTGAGCTTCCTAATCTGAGTTTTACATTTTAACAGGAAATACATGTTTGGTTTTAAAAATGTTTATTTGACTTTTAATTCACAAGATAAAGTACTAAGATGAATTAAGGTAGAAAATAAGTTGACTCTGTGTAACAATTCTTGAGGCTGAATTTTTCCAGTGTAATCATAATAATGATTAAATAGTAGGTAAGCCACATCTACAAATTTAATTCATAATGGGGTAAAAATCTGTGGCATTAATGTAGCTAATATGTTAGTGTCTCTGATATTTCTATACACTAAAATGATTGTGCAATACATTTGTTAACAGGCAGAGCTTTTGCTTTTTAACAAATTTTTTCTCTGAAACTAGATAAAAGATATTCAAGGTAATGAATAGAGCAGCACAAAACAAATAGACTTTTTACAAATAGGCTTTTTTTGGAGGTAAAATTGACATGTAACATATTAGTTTCGGGGTACAACATAATAAGTTGATATTTGTACATACTGTGACGTGATCACCACAGTAAGTCTAGCTACCATCTGTCACCACACAAAGTTATAATTTTCTTTTTCTTGTGATGAGAACTCTTGGCAGCTTTCAGATATGCAACACAGTGTTATTGACTCTAGTCGCCATGCTGTGCATCGCGTCCCCAGGACTCATTTTCTGTCTGGAAGTTTGTGCTTCTCGACCTCCTTCACCCATTTTGCCCACCCCAAAACCTGCTTTTCCAATCTGTTCTCTGTGTCTATGAGTTTCATTTTGTTTTTTTTATTCATTCGTTTTATTTTTTAGTTACCACATATAAGTGAGGTCATGTGATATTTCTCTTTCTTTGACTTATTTCACTTAGTATAATGTCCTCAAGGTCCATCTGTGTTGTCACAAGGATTAAGAGCTCTTCCTTTTTTATGGCCAAATAGCATTCCAGCGTGTATCTATGTATTTACATCTTTATCCGCTTATCTTTCAGTAGACACACATTGTTTCCATAGCTCGGCTGTTGTAAATAATATGAACATAGGGATGCACATACCTTCTGTAATTAGTGTTTTCCTTTTCTTCAGATTAATAGACTCTTGTTTTTGGAGCAGTTTTAGGTTCACAGCAAAACTGAAGGGGAAAGGTACAGAGATTTCTCAAATATTCACTGCCCCAATCACACACAGCCTCCCCTGTGGTCTGCGCCCCCACCTGAGTGGTGCATTTGTTACAGTTTATTAGCTTACACGGGAAGTTGTGAGGGAGATTATGAAGACTTGCAGCAGTAGTTGGGAGGAGTGTGTGGGGAAAATGACAGCAGAGGAAGAGCTGGGTCACCACACGGCAGAGGAGCCTAACCGCATTCAGTGTGACGCTGACCGAGGTCCGCTGAGGGACCTACCGTTCGCTGGGCTCTGGAGATACGTGGTACCTGCCCTGAGGAACTCAGTCTAATTGGGGAGATGGATCTGTAGATAAATAATAGAGCAGAGATGTATGTTTTTATGGCACACACCACAGAGGAAGAAATGACTCAATCTCATTGTGGTTCAGAGGGAGGGGTTTGAATAAAAAGGTGATAAAGGATGTAGAAGCATTTGGCACACAGTAAGCCTCAAATACTAACTCACTATCATTAGGTGTCAGCGTCAGTACAGATGTCAGCTTGGTCAAGAAGGTAGGAAATGAGTAAGAATGGAACAAAATAGTTATTTTCTTTTTAAAGAAATTGTCCTAAACTCTCCATTATTTAACCTCTTTTAGGTGGGGAGCAGCCGATTCCTCTCTGGAATGAACACGATGGAACAGCAGATGGAGATAAGCCTAAAATTCTACTCTATTCCCTGAACTTGCAATTTAAGGTGACATATAAATAACAATGCTACTTTTAGAAGAATTTTTCTAATTGATTAATGCATGCTTGCTATAGAAAAGTCATGTGATACATAAATATGCCAAATAGAAAATAAAAATGAAGTATATCCATTCAAAGAAAAAGCTTTAACAATTGTTCGAATGTTCTTTAGGACCTTTTACTGTTCGTATTTTTAAAGATGCACACATTTCTGCATTTTAAAAGCCTTGGATGCCTTTCCATACCTTTAGGCTGACTTTATCTCTTGAACAGCTGTATCATTCAGTGGTAACCATTCATTTAACTACTTTCTTCCGATGAACTTTTGATTTTTTTCAAATTATTGCTGTTATAAACTGTGCTGTAAGAGAGATTTTATACATGTGTCCAATTAACAGTAATATCTTAATCGAAACCTTAAAATTTCCAATATTTAAGATATTAGTGTTCTTAAAAATAAAAACCATTTTTGCTGAATAGTTATTTAATCGTAATGTATTTAACCCATGAGCGATGTAGAGTTTAAATATAAAATACTGAAATATTTAATAGCCAAGAAAGCCCTACTAATGTGAAATTAAAGAATGTTGCTAGCTTTATCAGTTCATTAGACATCCTATATGTGTTTTAATACGGTCTATTTTATTTATCATATGTTGAAATATTTAATTTGAGTGAATGGACATTGTTGATTTAAGATTTTTTTCCTACTAATGTATATCTGCTAGGGTATTCAAGTGACAGCTACAACTCCTTCAATGAGAGCTGTGAGATTTGAGACTGGGTTGATTGAACTTGAACTTTCCAACCGGCTTCAAACCAAAGCTTCACCAGGAAGTAGCAGCTATCTGAAACTGTTCGGTAAATGCCAAGTGGATTTAAATCTGGCATTAGGACAGATTGTCAAACATCAGGTGAGTGTAGGAATGTGCTGACTTTAGAACTGTGGCTTTTAAATTTTGCACATCAATTTTAACTACATTAAATATTACTCTACTTACAAAAATACTTAAAGTTCCTAAAATTTCTGATTATAAATTCTAATGAAAATTGTTCAAGTAGGACTTTAGAGTTTTACCTTGGCATTTCTTTGAGTATTTTGGTGGTATGTTGTTATAGGTTACTGCAGATACAGTTACATGAAACGTAATTCAGGATCTTCATGAATATTTGCTTATAATTTCTCTTTATTTTGTTAAACACTTTTTTTATTTCAATGCTTTGTGCTAACATTGGTGAGTTCTTAAAACGCTACTAAGTTTCTTAGCTGTACTCTACAATATTGGCAAGTTTTGTATGCCATAATATTAAACATATAAAGTTAAATGTATACACACATACACAGCTCTTAATTAGACTTTATAAAAATTGTCATTCATAGCTCATAGGGGTTTTTTTTGATGTCTGTTTTTGTTTTTATTTTGCTAAAAATTATGTAGATTTTAACCTTTTTTCTTTCTTTGATTTGAAGAACTGATTAAAAGAATGCCAGTCACACTTTCAAAACTGAATGTCTGTATTAAAGAGTATGTGGGGGGGAATAAATGAATAAAAATTTCTTGTCATTTCTAGAAAAACAGTAATTTGTTTGAATGGAAATGCATTTTGAGAGGAGTGGGGATCTAATTATCTTGACACATTTACTGCATCGCCGTCCAGAATACGAACATCATCCTGGCTTTTGTATGAACTTTGTTTGGCTTCATCTTTACTTATATACCCATTCACATTGTGTATTAATTTCAAGTGTCTGTGGTGTAGAGTATAGGGAATATATATCGGTGAATGAATTTGAGAAAAACGTACTGTAGTTATTTTGGTGCACAATACCATTAATGATGTTAAAACTTCCAGTTTTTTTATTGACATTTTCCATTATTTGATTTTATTGAGCTTTTCATTTTATTTTAGGTTTATGAGGAAGCTGGTTCTGATTTTCATCAAGTTGCCTATTTTAAAACCAGAATAGGATTAAGAAATGCCCTCCGAGAAGAAATCAGTGGTTCTTCAGATAGAGAAGCCGTGCTTATCACCCTGAATAGACCGATCGTGTATGCCCAGCCAGTGGCCTTCGACAGAGGTGAGGCGGTCCAGCAAGGCGATTGTTGGTTTTAGAGCTGGTACGGAAATGCCAGATAAAAACCATCTGTGGTTTACCAGTGTAAACGCTCAACGGCTCACTGTCTCCTAAATCTGAAATGAGAGCATCCCAAAAGAGTTTCATCCATTGAAGGTTTAAATTGGCGGTAGGTATGGGCTGGTGATGAGATCAGTTTGTGAGAAAACTGCCCTTTCGGCAATGTTATGGGTAACATTTTATTTTGCTAAATCCAGTGCTCGTTTTTTCCTTTTCTCAGTTTATTTCTCATCAGCTTTCAGCGGCTCCTTAAAATCCTCTGCTCTTCCTGTCCACGACTTGCACTCGCTCTTCCTTCTGCTTCTCTGGCCCTTCGTCTTTATCTCTTTAGGCCCTTCTTCTGAACTCTCCTTAAGTGAGGGTTTTCCTTAAGACTTCATTCTTGTCGCAAACTCAATGTCTTTGACCCCTCTCTCTCTCTCTCCCTCTCTCTGTCTCTCAATCCCATCTTTTTAACGTACGTTCCTAGAGTCACGTGCCTCTCTCGAGAACATGTAGCAGTAACAGTAAGCTCTGCAAGGCCAGGGGCCATGTCTGTTTTTCTTAGTTATTCCCCCCCCAGTGCCTCGTGTGTAACAGGCATTTCACAAATAATGTGTTTGATGAATGGATGGACCTGTATTTTTTTCTTCCTTCTGTAGTTGTCTCCTTCCCGCTTCTTTTTTCCATTTGTCAAGGTGACTGTAACTTCTTAGATCCTTTCTAATTCTAATGCTACAGTTATCTGGGCATCATTTTTATCGATCAGTGGGATTTTGTAGCCATTGAGGTTACTTGCCATATAGTTTTACAGTTTTGATTTAGATTTTCTTTCTGTCCTGCCTTAATTATCAAAAGCTGTGCTGTTTTGGCTGAATTATAAGGCTGCCTATGACAATTGGAATGAACAACGAATGGCTTTACATAAGGATATTCACATGGCTACAAAGGAAGTCGTGGATATGCTGCCTGGTATCCAGCAAACCTCTGCCCAGGCCTTTGGGACTCTCTTCCTGCAGCTCACTGTGAACGATCTGGGAATTTGCCTGCCTATCACAAACACCGCGCAGGTACGAAACTCCCATCCTAGCCCAAGATTAGGGGCCAGGCATGTCTGCTGACTGTTTCTGCGTGTATACACTAGAGCAGTACGTTTTCAGGAGAGCAGTTTATAACTCGAATTTAGTAAACAGAAAGTAAGATTGAACTCTGTCAACCATTTTTCATCTTCAGTATATTAAATGCAAATCTCATGAGATTTTTCTCCAAAGCACTCTGATGAGATTGACATCTACCTGATAATTCTCAATTTTCACCTTGACAAATAAGCAGCTTAGTTTTCAGAGTCTTTTTACTGTTCTTGTTTATTAGTACAGAAGTCTTTGGCATACACTGTTAATAAAAAACAAAACATTTGAGAATACTATTCAATAATGTTAAAAACCTCATCTAAAATAGAGAATTTCAAAATGCTTTTAAACTAATATTTAATAGTATTGAAACTTGCAAGTTATCTGTAACCTGGATAAAGCAAGAATTTTCATAATTTGGGACTAATTCTCAGGAGCACATTTTTGCACACGTGTGTGAGGGTGGAAAAGCTATGAACCCATCAGGCAGTCATAACGAACACAGGGGCCTATGTTTTACTGCCATAATAAATAACCTGTAGGCCGCTGTCACATGAGTTTGTCTTTTAGCAAACTCATTTTGTTTGGGAGACAGTGTTAGGGGAAAACTCTGGGTTGGGAGTTGGCAGCCTGTGGCACTCTGAGTTTTACAAGTAGGCATCTTTCAAAGCTGCTTCTTGATGCAGATTTTTGGACTTGACCTTTTCTGGATATTTGTTCCTAGGACTCCTACCAGGACTTCCAAACTTAAAAACTTGTCACCTTTTGTCTGTTTCTTCTCTAACGTATTTTGCAGTCTAATCACTCTGGCGACCTTGACACTGGCTCAGCGTTGGTGTTGACCATCGAAAGTACTCTCATCACCGCTTGCTCTTCAGAATCCCTGGTTAGCAAAGGGCACTTCAAAAGCTTTTGCATCCGTTTTGCTGATGGCTTTGAGACGTCCTGGGACGACTGGAAGCCGGAGATTCGCGGGGACCTGGTGATGAATGCCTGTGAGTGCTTCCACCTTCTGTATGAGGTGTAGAATTTTTAAAAATTAAAAGAGACCAAAGCAACCCAGTATCTCCATTTGTAAAAGTAAAGGATGTTCAGATATAGGAATGTGATTAGACTTCGTGAAGTAAGGGCTCTTTCTACCTTAAGATGTCAGGACGTACTTGTGAAAAACTAGCTTTCGGTAGTGTTGGGAAGTAAACCAGTTAGCCATTGTTTTGGATGGTTTAACATTTGAGGGTTTGATCACTCCCTGATTTTTCCTACAATGGATTCACTAATGACCAGATAAAGCCTCTTCATTCTGTGTGGCTCTCGAGTGAGAATGATAAATGTGTGAGATCCGGTTCACCAGATAATGCAGGGCAGTGCAGATGACCAGGAGCCAGAGCTGGCCGGCCTTACTACCAACAGGAATAAACCCACATGTCCAGATTTGTTGGTTACACTATGCGACTTGTGTGAATTTCTCAAGGCTGGGAATAACTAAAGCTATGTTTATGTACTATTTTGAAGGTATGGGGTTTATTTCTATCCATTTTAATGTTTTCAATATGGGAGTGTTAATAAAGCATCGTTAATCTTAATGAAAAATGGTATTTGAAGAATGAATGGTCGTGAACTAAAATTCCTCAGCCCTTCTTGCAAGCCAAAGTGGTACGCCATTGTTTATGCAATCTTTTCTCCTCTTCACTGGAAGACAATCTTTCCATTTTGGGGTTTCTTTGGGGAACAGGAAAAGTTTCCATTTTTATGTCAAAAATTGAAGTTTTGGCATTCACTATTGACTAAAACTTAGGTAAAATTATAAGTGAAATTGTCGGTATGGAATGCTTTGCATTAGATAATTCTTAGGTAAAATACTAGGATTTCTTTGAAATACTTCAGGTTACTAAGATTTGGTATCAAAATACTCATGCTTAATATCCAAAAGACCAGAAGTAGCCTTCATCAGACATCTTTACAAATAATCACTTTACACAGTTGTTATATGTATTTTTAAAAGTCCCTATAACTGTCTTTTGTTTGTGGTTTTTTTCTTAAAACAAAATAAATTTAATCCTAATTTTTATTAAGATGACATCTTTGCAATCATTATAGTCACTAAAATGGATAGAATATCTTTGGAAACAAAGGAAGGATACCATTTCCTTAAAAGGAAAATGCATAAGAAATATGCCTCCGACTCAAAATCAAAAACATAAAAAATATAAATAATAACTTGCATCTCGGCGTATATCGTACCAACAAAACAGAACACTGACGTACTGAAAATTGTGACAATTGTAATTTGTTTTCATTTTTAGAGGAATTAAATGACTTGGTTTTGTACTATATTTATTGTTTGGTGTCTTGGGAGGCAGTAGTTGTTTCATAGATATAATTACAAGAATTCTGAATTATAAAATTGGCAAATACTTTACTACTTTGTATTTTTTATTAGTAGTAAGTATACTTGGATGTATCTAACATTAATGTTTTTGAAAAAGAAGACAGAAGGAAATTTAACTTTGAGTGGTGAACACACAATGCAATATACATATAACGTATTATTGTGCACTTGAAACCTATTTGATGTTATTAACCAGTATCACTCCAATAATTTTAATAAAACAATAAAAAGAAGAGTTGCGTTTAGGGCAGAGAGATAAGGAACAGTAGAAGCATGCGTTAGGACTTTTTACGAATCATTTTAAAATTATGCCCTTGAGAAAAGATGGCCCAGTCAGATTTCCTCTCTAAGTGGTAATGTTTTTTGGAAGGAAAATGCAGTAAATATTAGGAAGGCCAATCTGTAGGAAGAGTTCAAAGGAACCATGTAAGTAGATAGTAAAGATTAAACCCTTTTCATTAACATGTATTTAGAAAAATGACATAAACCATTTAAGAAGTTTGAAAGACTCCAAGCTCTGTTTACACCTGGATAGCATTCGGTCCTAAGAGCAGGGCGTCCGTCCCCAAGTGACGCTTGGTCCTGCTCAGCACTCCCTCCCTGACGCGGAGACCATGGACACCCACTCCTCACTTCCAGGGTTTGGATCTGCTCCTAAAGATCTTAATTTTCCTTATTAATTCATCATAGCTCTATATTCTATGAATTTATATAATCTTTTTTTTTTTTTTAAGCTTAATTAAAAATCTCTGATACTTCCTGGGATTGGAAATCCCAAAAGTTTTTTACCCATTTTTATTTACTAGTTCTACCTTGCACTCGGCCTCAATTATGTTACTCAAATTTCAAAGGGTTTTCTTTTCATTCTAGCATTGTTAAATTCGGAAGAGTAGGCTGGGTTTCTTTTGCTCTGAATGATGACTATAAAGGTGAAGTGGGTGATCTTTTCCCCCAAAACAAAACCTAGTTCTTTTTATTTTATAATTGTATGTGAGGCACCGGAACTGGATGGTTCAAAAATATAATTTAGAATTTAAAGTCATTGGCACTATCTTAAATATAAGAACCACATAATAGAAATCGTCACTTAACAAATAGACCCTTTTTTTCCGAAATAGGTTGTAGCTTTTCTACAACTCAAAATCGGGTAACATTTGAAGACCAGTTGGGATGCAGAGTGAACTGCAAAAGGACATTTCATTTAAGTTGTATGTACTGTCGGGTTTAGATTGAAATTTGGTTTTCGTTAAGGATTCCTGAGAAAGGGTCTTAATTCTGTCTTGAGACTTTACTTTGTGTAAAAGTTGTTTCAGGGATGGTATGTCCTTTACTGGTTAAAATTGTTGATTTAATTAACCTCCGTTTCTGAAGCTGACCTTATCGGATTGAAGCTAACTGGTAGGAAGTGTTTCAGAGTTAAAGTCACATACATGTCCTGGAGACAGGTCTGTGACCTTACAAGATTGACATCGTAGCAGCCAGTCATTTTTTTTTCACATAAAATGTTCCTTGTCAAAGGAAAAGACAAGGCTGATGAATCATGTCCGTGACCTGATGTGGCAGTTCTCATCAGTTTAAACCATTTGCATTCTCAAAGTGCTAGTCACTCATGATGACACAAATTGTCATAGCATTCAGAAACTAGAGTTTCAGAATCAGCCAGGTGTTGTCACTCACATGTGGAAATCCATGTGGAAATCACATGCAGAATGTGAAGATCAAACTGCAGTTAAATTCTTCAAATTGTAGAATAAAACCCCATGAGATCTGAAATCGACCTTACAAGTCATCTAAGGCTGCCCTTTAGTCTACAGGTTAGCAGCTGAAACCTAGAGAAGCTAGTGGTCCTGTTTATATTTAAGTAGTAATCTTTGCGTAAAAAAAATTGCAATACAAAATTTCATCACAGCATAATTTTATCGAAAACTGTTTGGGGTGCTTTTTGTGCAGGCGTGGTTCCAGATGGCACCTACGAAGTATGTTCCAGGACTACAGGCCAAGCAGCCGCTGGTAAGTCCGCATTTCATGTTGCTCTTGCTACGTGTGTCGGGTAGAATTCTGCCTTTATACGTACATATTTTTCTGCCTTTGTATTAATAGCGAGGGGACCTTTTAACTAAACTTGTTCTGGTGTTCCCCAAATTTTAAAAACATTTCGTAATAATATTAGTATATTTTTATTTATTTAACAGTTATTAATTAGACACCTGCTGTGTACAGGATACACTGCAAAAACGGGGGAAGATAAAGATGAATAAGGTTTTTCTACTCTATAAATTTAAATTGTAATAAAGTAGTTAAGGCCCTGCAGCATAATTAAACTGTAATATGGGATAAGTACAATAAAATATAAAATTCCAGCTGCTATTGAAAATTACAGGAGGGAGACAGAATTTCCAAATTTGGAAGGATACTAGGATCAGAAAAAGCTTTACGGAAGAACAAGCATTAAACAGGGACTTGAAAGATGAGATAAAGTTGTTTCGTCAGCAAAACTCAGGAGATGTCAGTCGTAACTGCAAAACAGTGTCTGGTTAGAGCTGTCTAAATTGGCCGGAATAAAGTTATATGAAAAATAAGATGGGAAAAGTCTTAAATCCCAAAATAAGGGGTTCAGACTTGATTTGGTGGACGATGGGAAAGCCATTAAATTTTTTTGAGCAAGAAAGCAGATGGCGACAGTATATGAGGGACAACTTGATTTGGTGGACGATGGGAGCAAGAAAGCAGATGGCGACAGTATATGAGGGACATTTTCAACGATTAGAGAGAAAGAAAAGCCCTTGGAAACCACTTAGGAGGTAACTGTAGGAGTGATAAGATGAATTAGTCCAGTGCACAGTTTACTGTTTTGCTGGGTAGAGCATTCGGGTAAGCTAAAGAGATATTTATGTAAGGGCTCTTAAGATATTGAGGGGGTAGAAGCTGATCAAGGTCAGGAGATTTCCTTTCTCTCCCTGCTAGTCCCTCTTATGCTCCCCAAGTCTAGCCTCACGCTCATCCTAACTGTCCCAGAGCAGCAAAGCCAGCGGTCCCCGCTGCGGGCCGAGAACACAGGAACTTCCTGCAGTGGAGTTGGAGGGAAGGGCGATGACCGAGGTAAAGGTCACCTCGAAGCCTTTGTCAGGACCCTTGTTTATAACTAACTTAACCAAAACAAGGAACTTAGTGAAAGGATGTTCGCAGACCACAGTGAAACTTGGGAAGGGCTGTCTCAGTGACGAGAGGCGCCAGGTCAGTTGGGGGCGAGATCGCACTGTCGGCGGGACTCTGCCGCTCTTGTCTTTCCCCTCGGGGTGGCCCTGGTGCGTCACTGCTGGCCTCCTGACACGTGGCTCAGGAGCCTGATCCCCTCCTCACTGGGGAAGGGCGGTCTCCCCTGAAGCCCAGGGGAGGGTTTTGACCCCCCCTTGACCCGACCCAGGCTAATTACCTAATTAATCCTGACTCGTGAGCAAGGGTGGTGGCCAGCCCTGCAGTGGCCGTGGGAAGGGGGTCAGCTTGGGGTGAGGGGGAGTGAATCCACAGTTTGGGGAGAAGGGCTGCTGCGCAGGGGGTGGTGGGTGCTCACCCAGCAGTCAGGGAGCCGATCCCGTGGCCCCGTGTCCTGACGATGTGGCCAGGAGAGCCGTTGGTGGTGATACGGACCATCATCCATTCCGTTCCTTAAATGTAGAATGATTTAAATATCTCCACTCAAGACTGACTGGAAATGCCTCTCCTTCCTTTCCACAGAAAGCAGCAGTGCGGGGACCTGGACACTGAACGTGCTGTGGAAGATGTGTGGGATCGACGTCCACATGGACCCCAACATCGGCAAGAGGCTCAACGCCCTGGGCAACACGCTCACCACGCTGACCGGGGAGGAGGACATCGACGACATCGCGGACCTGAACTCCGTGAACATAGGCGACCTGTCGGATGAGGACGAAGTGGACACTATGTCTCCTACTGTCCATACGGTGAGAACACCCCCGTTGCACACTTCCCCCCGGGGCAGGGGTCATACTGACCAGCGTCACTATGTCGCAGTTGCTAATTGTGGAGGAGGGAAGGTGGGGCGTGGCTCCTGGTTCCGCATTTCGTAATGTTGCTTTTTAGTTTCATAATATTGTCTTTTAATTGAGTCCCTCGTTTCATAATAATGACTGTCAACCAACTTGTGCCTCAAGCTACAGGGAACGTACACTAACCTTACAAGTACCAGCAGACTTGTGGAGCCAGAGTTGCGGCCACCTAGGGCTGGGGAGTCGGGGAGGCCAGGAGGGGACAGGCGGAGACTGCTGGTCACAGCCAGTTTTGTTTGGGGGTGCGTGGAGATGTTCTAAACAGATCGTGGTGAAGCAAAGTGGTGAAGCATGCACACAACATGAAGTACACATTTTAAAAATGTGTGTCTCCATCAATACTGTACACTTTATAGTATCAAATTTTTGGTAGTTACTCTCCGCTTTCATTCTGGTATTAAAAATTTTTGAGTATCTTTTTACTATTGTATTACGAAATAGTTTTGTTCTCGGAAAGATGTACTTTTAAAGACCACTGTACTGTTTATCGTTTAGAGCTCAGATGGAAGCTCTGTAAGTGGAGACGGCCACAAGCTCACCTTCGGGCAGCGACTTGTAAATCACCTACTAGGCCTGACGCCCCCGCATCAGCGCCATTCTGTTCCTGCAGAGTATCTGTGTGACCCCGACACGGGGGGCTCCCGTCAGGCTAGCCAGTCCTATTTGAAAGTATGCAGAGCCCACTCATGGGGAAACGTAGGTAGCAACTAAATAGATTCCTTATGAAACCAAGGGTCGAATCACTGGAGAATTCAATCATCGTACTGGATGTGACGTAGATGGCGCTGATTCTTGCATGCTCCCTTCGATTCATATGTCATTTTCGGGATAGCGTAGATTTGCTGTGTGACCCAATGGTGCTGCAGACAAACACACTTTGATTTTCAGGAACCTGTGGAGTATCGAAGACCAGGAGCGTCCTGCGGGCCGCCGGGGGAGCTGAGAGGCAGGAAGACGGTGAAGCGCCTGGTGGACATCAGGGAGCTGAACGAGCAGGCCAGAGTCATAGACGACCTGAAGTGTGTGTCATGGCCCCAACTCGTGCCGAGTCCTCGTAGTGGAGTCGTGGGGCGGTAGCGGTCGTGCGTGAGGCGGCCAGGGTCCAGGCACGCGGGCGGGCTTCCTGCGCTCGTGCGTGCGGCAGGGATAGTAACCCGAACGCCTGGTCTGGCGCTCACCGCAGCGCCCATTCCCGAGCAGCCGGACTGACCGTGTATCACGGACGCGCGTCTCCACGTGCGCCCGTAAATATACGTGTTAGTCTTTTGCTAACAGGATTTCTGAAATTTAAAATTTTGAGAGGGCAAACAAATTGAGCATTTATTAAGCACCTGTTGTGCATTTGACATACTGTCTCAGTTCAATCTACACAATATTTCTGTGAGGCTTGATGGCATTATCCAAACTGTCGTCAAGATAACTGGCTAGGAAGAATGAAAGAGCTAGAATTCGAAGCACACTGGGTTTGCCTGTGGTAGCGGTTCTCTGGGGCTGAGGTAGGGCTGGGTGAGTCCAGAGGGGACAGTAGGTGGGAGTAATTTATTTTTCTTTATCTGTTGCCTGCTGGATAGAACTAAGCAATAACTCCATCTCTTAGACTAACTGTTCTCCTTAGCAAACTTTGAAATTTTTGTTTCAGAAAAATCACCCAAAAGGTGATGGTCATGCCTCTTTTTTTTCTAAACTTCATGTACCTGTACCTCTGGGTTATTTTTTGTTTGTTTGTTTGTTTGTTTTGCATTCAAGGACTTTACACAAATATATGAATTTTGTACAATGAAAAGTATTACCTAAAAACTTAACTGTAAATTATGATATAGTGATTCACATTTTCCTGTTGATTTACATTATAATTTGCCTTTTATTGTCAGGGGAAAAATGACTTGAAGCAAAATATACTTCCTCCCTTAAAATCTTACCTGAGGCTTACATTATATGTAGAATTTTATATCCAGACATCCTTTTGCAGAGTGGGGCCATAGTTTTCATGAGACACAGAAATGAGCAAGAACTGTTTTCTAAAACATTAGAGCAAGCTTTTTTACAGTTTTCAGGTGTGGAGGATTTTGACTTGCCCCTACGTAATCTTTGATATTCTGAAAAGTGAAAGGATAAAAAGCAAGTAAAAATCAGTCTTTCTTTATTACTTCTTTACATTAATTGCCACATTTTTTTTGCATCCAGAAAATTAGGTGCTAGCGAAGGAACCATAAACCAAGAAATTCAGCGTTACCAGCAGTTAGAATCTGTCGCTGTGAATGACATTCGAAGAGACGTCCGCAAAAAGCTGCGGAGGTCCAGCATGCGAGTGAGTGGGCGTTCACAAAGAATTTCACTGGGCTGCTTTTACTTTCTACTTTATGAAACTTGATGATGAGACTTCGTTGCTCTCTTCCTTGCCCCATTGCTGGTGATAATGCCACCTGCTTTGTGCATCTCGCGTCTGCTGGGTACCAGGCACTGTTTAAAAGCACTTTACGTTTAATAATCGTTACATCCTCACAACCGCAGGAGGTGTTATTTCCCCCCTTTTAAAGATGAGGAAACAGACACACAGAGAGGTCGAGGAATTTGACCAAGGTGACACGGCCAGTAATCCCAGCAGCCAAGAACGAGACCCAAACAGTGGGCGCCCTGCAGGCTCCGGCCTGAGCCACCAGGTTCTCGCTGCCGTTTGTGACGTCATTCTTTCCTTTAGTCTCTAGCTCGAACGTGAAGTCTGTTCAGGTGTCTGTTCTACCCCCGTCTCATTCCCCGCAGCTGACTTTACCTCTCGGCCACTGTGTATCCTCAGCACTTTATTCTTCTCTTTACTATTTGCATGTTTGTCGCTCGTACTAGAGTTTGAGTCTCTTAAAAAACAAGTTATTTTTCTTTGACCCCACTGCCTACTCCATTTTCTGGGATTTAGTCCAATAGCTGAACAATTGAAATAAATATATAGATATACTATAAACATATAGTAGGAAATAGTTCTAAAACGTATTCAAATGGATATTGGTTGCTTTGGGTCAAGGGGTTCTTGTTAGTGGAAAAACTATTTTCTTTTAAAAAGATAAATGGGTTCTTAACCTTCTCCCCCCCCAATAATCAGTAGAACCTTCCTTTTTTATAAGAATAAGGTTTTTGGGTGGTACCCCAATATATAAAATATATCGAATCAGAGCAGCTGGGGCAGAGGAAGGGGAAGGGTACCGGCACCCAGTGTTTATTGGCTTGGACGTCCTTTTCTTGCTCACCCCGAAGTCCCAAACAACCAACAACCTAGTTTGAGTATTGTTCTAAATTATTTGTTTAAATCAAAGATAAAGTCCAATTTAAGTTATTCATCATTGGCTTCTGATACTAATAAATGGGTAGTAATGATCTATAAAGCATAATTCTGTATTTAAAATGTTCGCTACTGCGTACCTACTAATCATACAACGCAATTGAAATATTGCTTGCACGCTCTTTGTAAGGTAGTTGGTGCGTGGTAATTGCCTATGAAACTGAGTGGAACAGATCAGGGAGATCAGCGGAACTCCGTCCGTGCTCTTAACATCGCTGTCCCTGGGCATTTCCCCGTCAACTCCCGCCCGGCCCCGCGCCACAGCTACGGAGAGGAGGGATTTGGAGGCCAGGCGTGTTCACGGCCCTTCCTTTGCTGTGGGGAAGAATTCTGCCGTGGGGTGCCCTGGGTGCCACTTGCGCTGATTGGGGGCCGCTGCCCCTTCTCTTCCTCTCTGCTTGTAATTCTCAACTTTCTTTTTTCCTTCCTTTCAAATCGTTTCCTTTCTTCTCCCCTTATTTCTGGACCCCTCAGCCCCGCTCGCAATCTTTTTACATTCTGATGTTTTCGTTGCGCAGCTCTCCTGAGTGACATGAGGACAAGAGTAGCTGATTGGAGTAACTTGCATTGACCTGGGGGAAACGAGCTCACTTGTTTATAGTAGAATATTTCATCTGAAGTCGGATCTTACAGCAGTGAACAACTGCCTGAAGTCACCCTTTTCTCTCTCATTCCATCAGGCTGCTTCCCTGAAGGATAAGTGGGGTTTGGGGTACAAACCAAGTTACAACCGATCGAAAAGCATTACTGCTTCTGGAAGACCACCTCTTAAGCGAATGGAAAGGGCAAGGTAATACATATTCCAACCGATGGGCCTTTACCAAGGTCCACTACTTATTTCTTGTGTTCTAATTGGGGATATTATAAAATTACGATAGCAAAAACGGACCTAAGTCAAATACCAGTAATGGTGGATTCTGTCAAACTAGCAGCTTTTTGAGGAATTCCTCTGTCACATGTGTGCCACAATCATAGTGTGCTTTTGGGTGATGAATACATTGCCATTTAGGCAAGTTTTTGTGTAAACTTACAGACCATCTAGAGAAATGAAAACGTGCATATGAGTGACTGCTGCTCCAAGTTTGTCATTTTAGAAAAGCAGCGATTACACACATATTTAGCATAAAAAAAAATGGAAAATTTTACATATAATTTAAGAAAAACAGTTTTACTAGTAAATGAGCACTATAAAGTAAACAGTGTAAGTTCATTTTATATGGTTTGGTTTTAGAAAATCTTGTGCTAATCAAAACACTGAATTTTTTTTTATGGGCTGCTAAACGTTAAGAAATGGGGTACCAAAAGTTCAATTCTAGGGTAAGATAGATATTTAGAAATAGAGCGCTAATGTCGTTGATGAGGCTTTAATGAAGCCCGGGGACTTCTAACCCAGAACGGTGACGCCTTGTCACTTGCACGTCCCGCAGTTCTCGAGTGGGAGAAACCGAGGAGCTCCCGGAAGTGCGCGTGGATGCCGCGTCTCCTGGGCCCAGAGTGACCTTCAGCATCCAAGACACAGTAAGAGACAGTCCTCGCCAGCGATGCCCTGGCCGAGTGCGGTAGTAATCACAAAGCTGCAGGAGCTGTGGGATCCCAAAACCGAATGCCGCCCGCAGCGAGTGTGGATGCGGGCGGAGCAAGGCGCCGCCTGCTGGTCAGCGGTCTGCAGTAAAGACCCCAGCCGCTTGCTCTTAGGTGGAGACGTTTTTGGATAATTTCCTTTCAACTGCGAATCCACCTTAAACTAGGTCTTATACACAGGTGCCATTTTGGAATGTTTATACGTTGTGTATTTATGTATTTTATTACTTCTGTGTTTTAGTGTAGACTATAGAGATAATAGCAGTGAAAAGATCAGCTTCACAGCTCTGTTTTAATTTTGTAACATATTAACAATGTTTGTTTTGGCTTTTTTTGTATATTTATTTACTTTTAACTCATTGTTTTCTATTTTTCATGAGTTTTTATACATTTTCTTATTTTAATTAAGTTGAAAAACACAATATGGGGAAGCACACCACAATCCAGCTGTCCTGGGGAAGGGTATTTTCAGGTACTTATTATTAAGAACAACATAATTCTGCTATAAAACTAATCAGTCACGCTGAAAATCTGCTTTCAAAATGTCTTTCTCTCATTTCATACTAAACTCAGAATTCAAAAATATTTTTCATAAAGTTTTAAGATTGTGATATAAGCTATTGCATAAACATTTAAATTCTATATATTCTTATATTTTAATATTAATTGTATAATTAATCTTCAAAATTCAAAGGCTAAAATCTTATATTTTATATTCTTATATTTTAATATTAATTATATAATTAATCTTCAAAATTCAAAGGCTAAAATCAGCTCAACCAAATCATAAATCAAAAAAATGTAATTTAGCTCAACCAAATCATAAACCAAAAAAATGGAATTTATTACTCGCTAATCCCTAAATGAATCTCATTTTTCCACATTCAACTAAAAAATTAATCTTTTCTTAAAAAACAAATTAGTAAACTAGTTTAAACCTATCTCAGAATAACAAGTCAATTATTGAATGTTATTTCTTATAAGTCTCTAGTATAAAAAAATATAAAAACTGCATTTAAAAAATTATTGTCATACTCAAAACTGGAAAATGTGCTATATTTTGAATTAACATTTCATGAGCCAAATATTTTCCCTAAGTAAGTCATGAAAGTATAAATGAATTTTAAAAATGTACTTGTATACCAGTTGTCTAGATCTTCTGTTTAGAAACTTTGTGAAGTTGCATTTAAAACTGGCACTTGTCACACACAGAGTTTGCTTCCCTGCGCCCACTCCTTTAAGCTGGAGTCTCAGCAGAGATCCCATCGTTCACTGAATTTAGCTAAACTTGATTTTTTTTTTTTTTAGAACTTTTAGATTATAATATAGTGAGCTTGATAAACATGTCTTTTTTTTTCTAAAGATGAACTTGGAAATAGATCATTTACAGTGAATTGAATGAATTCTACTTATTAAGTCGATTCTTTTTTTTCTGTCCAACATTTTAAAAATTGATATAATTGACATGTAACATAATATTAGTTTCAGATATACAGCACGATGATTCAATATGTGTATATCGTGGAAAATGATTAAGTGATTCTTACATGCATTAATATTTGAATTGATTCAAGTGCTATTTTTGTGTAGTGTATGCTATTTATAAAAAATAGTGTATAAAAATCATAAATCATAAAATAGATCATTAAGACATGGTTAAATATAAAATAAATATAAAACAAAGGGATATTTATCTACATAAACTCATCACAGTTTTAAAAATTGAAGATGTCCTGAGAAAATCTGATGTACTTAATTACTACATAACAGTATAGTGTAAAAAGTGAAGAAAAGCTCACCTCTGCAAACGCTTGAATTTTTGGATTTGAAAATTAGAATTTCAGTAGGTATGTAACAGGAGCATCAAATTGTGTCACCTTGCTCATTACACTTTACAAAGGCTTATCACATTCTCAAAGGATATTTAAGCCAGTCTCAGAATTGGGACTCGAAAGTAGGTCCTCGGAAATTTTGTTGTTTCGATCTACTTAATACAGCGGCCCCCGCACACAGCCCTCAGTTGGTGACATGGTGTTTATGCAAACTCTTCCCTTAATACATAGCGTTCTTAAGTTCGATTGATTCATATGTTTAATTCCAAAACTGTTTGCTTTCTTCAACGTGTTAGGGACCCATATGTAAAAGATGCATCCACGGAAGGCACCTGCAAGCATGTGCCTCTGTCCTGACTGCGTGCTCCTCCATCCCCACTCGCTCCCTGCATGTGCCTCTGTCCTGACTGCATGCTCCTCCATCCCCACTCGCTCCCTGCCCTCAGACTCGCAGCCGATCGCGTTGTTCCCTTGGTGTCCACTGCATCTCTAGGAATTACCGCCCGTGCTGATTAACGTGACTGTCTATGCCTATGTGAAGTAAAACCTCCCACTGATGTTTAGCATGCCGCAGGGCAGCTCTGTGGTTCGACCCGCTCCCTTCTCCCATGTGCCATTTCACGTGTGCATACACCCGACCTTTCTTTCAGCTCAGAGTGAGGAAATTTAACTCTGAGAGAATTTTGAAATGTTTCAACGTATGTGTGTTCTTTTTCTTTTTTTAATTGAGAAGAGATTGCTAATTTGAACCTGATCGATGCTTTCCCTTTCTACAATCAGTTTCCGGAAGAGACGGAACTGGACCTCCTGTCAGTAACCGTGGAAGGGTCGGCCCACTACCCGTCAGCCAGCGAAGGGCCGCGCTCCGTGTTCGGGACTCCCAAAACCCCAGCAGCCTTTTCACCGGGCCTCGCCTTCCAACCCGAGGAGGGCCGCCGGGATGACAGCCTGTCGTCCACCAGCGAGGACTCGGACAAGGACGAGAAGGACGACGACCACGAGAGGGAGAGGTTTTACATTTACAGGAAACCCTCGTGAGTAGCCTTCTGGTTTGAAGAGCCTTAGGTAGCATCGTGGAATCCAGAACTGAACTTAGAGCGTTATCTATAACTGTCGATTTTCACAGAAAAAAAGTCTTAATGCGTGTAGCCAGAGTGAGTTAACAGACATATTCATGGTTTACCAATGTCCTTTAGCTCCATATGGCATTGTTTCTTGTCCTGTTCTTCTGTCTTTTAGTAAAATCTGGGAAGATTTGCAAAGTTTTCAGATCTCCTCCCCCATGTAGAGTGTGGTCCACAGCCATGTTCAGCCTCCGTCACACTGGCAACTGTGTCGTGTACTCAGCACTGAGCACTCTGCCTGGCACGTGCTCTCTCTCAGCACACAGTCGTTGAAGGAAATGTGGCTCTTTTAGGAAAAACTTAGGAAAAACTTCACTTGGGATGAGCTAGCTGAGTCATTGGCGTGAATTTATAAGAAAATGTATTTACAGACCGTCGCTCACCTCACATGTTAGAAAATAGCGTGTCATAAACTCTTCCTGTTTTACTACAGCGTAATGACCAGTTGTCCTTTCTATAGACATACTTCTCGTAAAAAAGCGACGGGCTTTGCCGCTGTCCATCAGCTGTTTACAGAGCGCTGGCCAACAGCGCCAGTCACCCGCGGTCTTAGTGGCACAGCGACAGAGAGAAACATCGACTTCGAACTTGATATTCGGGTTGAAATCGATAGTGGAAAATGCGTGCTCCACCCAACCACCCTTCTTCAAGAACATGATGATATCAGCTTGAGAAGGTAAGCGAGCGGACGGGTGCTTCATCGTGTGAAATACTGTCTGTACGTCACTGAATTCCAACAGACTTTACCCTCTCAGCCCAAAGCGCAGCTGGGAAGAGTGGATTTAAACATACTTGTAATGTTCGAGTGGTTATCTGTATAACATAGTACTTCTTTAAACAAGTGTGTAATGTTTTCTGGCAACTACAAATGGATGTCTGATTTAGATTCTAGAAAATGTGTTAATTAAAACAGCTAAATCTTCGGAATTCCCCTTTAAAAAGCCTGAGTTTCTCAAGTCCTCTCTGTCCTCATGTTGTGCGCACTTCTGTTTCAGAGAACAGTGCGATACTCAGGTGCCTCCTGGCTGCTGAGAGTCTTGACGGCTCCATAAAGGAGTAAGACAGGACAATTGCCCAAGACGCCTCAGAATACGGGGGTCGACCAGGCTGTCCCTTCGGCTTCAGCATTTGTTTCCATCGTTAAAGAAACAGTGGTTTAAACAGGCTTAACGTTAGATTATTTTTTTCTTTGAATTTGTGTTCTGCTTTTCTTTCCTAATCTAAAAACATTGTCAGAACACGTTAATTGGGTGGGCGGGCGGAAACGGTAAGGGTGGAATGCTGACAGTCATCGGAGCTGGGAGACAGATCCACCGGGGTCCATTATCCATTCTGTCTACCTTCTATATGTTTGAAATGCTTCATAATAAAAGATTTTTAAATGGTCTATTTGTGTCTAAGGAGGCTTCGGTAAAATCAGAAGACAGAAAGGCACTCTAAACAGTTAAATTCTTACAAACGAAATAGTGATGATAAAAAGATGATTTTAATTTTGGTTGAATCATAATAAAAAACCATGATGAATTCTGCTGTTTTTACTTCTGTAAAGGGCAGTTTCATTTGCTTTAACCTTCTACGTGCATGTGAAACACCTGTGACCTCAGGAGAGAGTAAAGAGGACAGTGCTGTGTGTTACGGAACCGACAGCAGGGACGTCACCTGGGCCAGGCGTGAGCCAGTGCAGCTAGGGACACTGGGGAGCTGTCCTTTGTCGCCTTGATTAATGGAGGATCACGTTCCATTTACTGTATAAATAAATCTGAATTCAAACAAGACGAAAGGAGATAAATGTCTTTTTAAAAAAAGATAACCCATTTTTCTGTTTGTAGGAGTTACGATAGAAGTTCCAGGAGTTTAGATCAAGATTCTCCTTCAAAAAAGAAGAAGTTTCAAACTAATTATGCTTCTACCACCCATTTAATGACTGGCAAGAAAGTGCCATCATCTCTACAGACAAAGCCTAGTGACTTAGAAACGACGGTGTTTTACATCCCCGGAGTCGATGTGAAGGTAAACACTAAGTGTCTGGCCATAGGGTTCGATGATTAGCATCAGCGTTTGTGATCCATCACGCGTGTTCTCCCTTCTCCAGTTAGATTAAAATGAGATTTTTCCAATGCTGTTCTCCAACATATCCATATTCTGAACGTAAAAGCATCAAATTGCAGGTTGCCACTTCTTTTATACAGCTTTTTCACGAAATTTTGGCTGAAATTAATTTTATTTTTCATACGTTGATATCCCTTGACATACTCACTAAACCTTGCCTACTGCCACTTTAGTAAATAACTATTTTGTAGATTCTAGAATTATAGAATCCTAGAATATTAACCAACAGAGAACTTTATTATCTGGAATGATCATTTTAATTTAAAAAATGGAAAAAAAGCTAAGAAACTTGCTAGGATCAGAAAGCTAACTTGTGAAAACTGGACCGGTGTTCTTCTTACCACATTCTCCTGCGTTTCTTGGTTTTCCCTGTCTGCATGCTTTCAACTTTTAAAGTTTTTTTTTTTTTCCAGTTGCATTACAATTCCAAGACGCTAAAGACTGAGTCACCCAATGCGTCCAGAGGATCCTCCTTGCCAAGGACACTGTCTAAAGAGTCCAAGCTGTATGGTATGAGAGAGAGTGCGGCACCTCCTTCTCCTCCTTTACCTCACACTGTCCAGGGCAAGACTAACACCTTGCTTCCTCCCCAACCCCCACCTCTGCCCTCAGGTATTTAAGGAAAACAGTCTTCACTTTTAATTTGTGTCCTAATTTAATTTGTAGTCATCACCTTTTTGCTCTATTGAGACTTTCAGATTCACGTGTTTAAGAAAAAAGGGTATGGGCTCGATAATGACCGTGTAAAATTCATACGTGGAAGTGAGGGCCAGTGACTGTTGCTTAGTTTTCAAATTGCTATTACTTAGAATATCAGTTGTTAGAAGAAATTTAATATTCTAAATAGTTTACTTAATTTTTTTTTAGATCTGTGTATTTTTAGAAGTTTTATGCAGTTCCATTTGGGGAGCTTATGATAGAGATGGAAACTTATGCAGAAACTCATGTATCAAACCGATAGAAGGCAGTACACTGGGCTTCACCACATTTATTAACTGTCCATTATTGCGTAACAGATTGCCCCAAACTTGGTGGCTTAGAACCTCCAACACGGTTTCTGTGGATCAGAATTTCAGGAGTGGTTCGGCTGGTGACTCTTAACTTCGCACTTTTCTGTGAAGTTGCAGTCCAGAGGCTGCTAGGGCTGCAGTCCTCGGGAGGCTCGGCGGGGTCTGAAAACTGCTTCCATCATGTGCATTTCACGTGGTTGCAGGCTGATGCTCAAGCCTCTCCCCGCCCCGTATCCCCCCTCCCCGGGCCTCTCCCCGGGGTGCTGAGTGTTCTCACCACAGGGCAGCGGGCTTCCCTAGGAAGGAGTCATCCGAAGGGGAGGATGGCCGAAGCTGCTCTCTCTCTCACGGCTCGGCCTCAGGTCACACTGTCACCTCCACAGGCCCCTGTGGATCTTCCTGCTCAGCCTCGCTTGGCGGGGGAAGGGGCGCCATTGGGCATGAATGCCGGGGAGGCCAGGGCCACCAGAAGCCCGGTTGGACTGTGGCCACCATACCACAAGAATGATACGCAGCATGTGTAGAATTACAAGGGGGGATATCAGACCAGACAGGGATTATTTGAAAAAAATTTTGAGGCAAGATGGAACTTGGTCTATAAATCTTGTAAAATAGCCAATCATCATAGTAACGCCTAATGTTTTTATGCCACTTTTCAGTTGACAAGGCACATCTATATGCATTAAATACAGGACAGATATTATCGTCCTCATTTAATACATGAGGAAAGTTGGGGCTCATGGAAGTTGAATTTCCTTCCTGGGTTTACAAAATTAATATATGTCAAAGGTGGAAACCTAAGCCAAAGTGAGCTAAGTCCGAGTTAGCTGTTATACTCATTCTCCTGATGTGGGAACGAGGACGAAGAGATGGCAGCCCGTGGAGGGGGGGCGGGGGTTATCAATGGGGACAAGACAAGAACAGCAAGAACATAGGAAAGTCTGAAAACAGTGACTTTTTCTCACTTGTCACCACATATTGTCCAAGATCTCTATATCTTAAGTGGACAAGATAATGCTGATGAGAGACTTAGAAAAGTATGAACTAGAAAAACTGAACCAAAATTTGTGAGCTAGAGCAAGTAGGAATAACTACTGTGTTATGTATATCATTAGTCATCTTCGATTAGAACATTAATATGTCATTTTTCTCGACCTTCTATTTTTATTACATTCTTGTATGGTTTTAAATATAGGGTGCTTCACCTGATTAAACTGTCATATAATTATATAATTTTAATTCTCACAAAATTATCTTATGTTTTACGGGAACTATTGAGTAAACTCACCTTACATTTATTTCTCACTGTTCCAGCCAAAGGAAAAGGAAGCGGAGGGGTGAAAACCGCCAAGCTGTACGCCTGGGTGGCACTTCAGTCCCTGCCGGAGGAGATGGTCATCAGCCCCTGCCTGCTGGACTTCCTGGAGAAGGCCCTGGAGACCATCCCAATCACGCCCATCGAAAGGAATTACGCAGGTGAGTGTGCGTCCCAGCACGTGCTTCTCGCAGTCCCCGTGCTCAGAAGGGTTTTGTATCGCTGTTGTGTATTACTACTTAATATACTCAGTGATGATATAAAATAATTATAGAACTGAAAAGAGCTTGAGAGATCATCGCGTCCTCGTTTACGAATCAGGACACGAGGTCCGCTGAGGCCGTGTGGTTCCCGACGGGCACCGCCAGTGCTTGGCGGGGTCAGGCCGGGGCCCCGGGGGCGCTGGGACGGGGCGGAGGCCGCCCACCTGATCATCCCGGCGTCACCCCGGCCTGCGAGCAGAGGGGCTCGGCACGGGGGCCACCCACCCTGTCCCCGCGGTGAACCTTAACCGGAGTATCTCTGCAGCTGTGAGCTCCCGAGATGAAGATGTGGGCCACTTCGAAATCCCGGACCCTATGGAGGAGTCGACCGCGTCCCTGGTGTCGTCCTCCACGTCCGCGTACGCGTCCTTCCCCGTGGACGTCGTGGTGTACGTGCGAGTCCAGGTGAGCGCAGAGCCCGTCCGTTTTACGGAGCAAGGTTCCCTCCAGCTCATTGGAACCTTCCAGAGTTCTTTCCTCGGGTCCGTGGGCCGTGTCTGTCTGTCACGGCTGGGAGGTCGCCAGGACCTCCGGGAAGTTTATGTGCAACTTCACGTGTGTATTTCTGCTGAGGAGGTGCACAGAGCCTTGGTTTTCAAAATTCAAATCCCCTACATTTGTGGCAAAAATAACGTAAAAGTTAAATATTTTTTTAGCATGTTGTGCCTTTTTATTATGGCACCTGTATTTCTTGCCACTGTGGTCCTTTTTGAGCAGATATAAAGTACAATTGAGATGTAAAGTCAGGATAGTACCTTTGTTAAATTTCTGCTAAGAATTAAGTCATTTTTGTCTAATACTTTATACTAAAATGCAGTCCTTTGGGAGTATATTTTAGCATCTGATTGAGTACATTTATTAAGCAGGATTCGAAAACTACTTGTATCTAAACTTCAGCATTTAGTTTACCCTCAATTAAAATATTACAATCAGTCTCAAGAAAAGCAGAAATGCTAATAGTCATCTGTTCAGATCGTTTTCTACAATAGCATTTTGGCCAAAGAGCTTCCTTCTGGCGTTCGCGCTAGCTTTTTTTAAGATCGGATGACAACACGTAACAGGTGAGGGCTTCAGAGCTTACACAACTTTTATTGATGCAACATTCTTTTTAAATTTTAGTAAGAGGGAAATTCCTTTCTTTAAAAGACTTGATTATTAACACATATAATGTGGACATAAACTTCTTTAATGTTCTGAATTATCTAAATGTCTAAGTATTTGTCCCTCAGAGATAGCTGCTCAAATATTTAGATATTTAAAAATTATATCATTTTGTTAGTACATTGGTTTATGTCTCATATGCCTTTGAAAAAGCCAGTACATTAAACACAAAATTCTTTAGGCGTCAAATTTGGTAGATGCGAACTAAAATGGAAATGTACTATTTGGAATCCAGTGTGAAATTTTTTAACCATCTAGTTCCTAGAACCCTTTTTTCTTTTTTCCTGCCTGCACTCAGCCCTCGCAGATCAAGTTCAGCTGTTTGCCGGTGTCAAGAGTGGAATGCATGCTGAAGCTGCCGTCCCTGGACTTGGTGTTCTCTTCCAACCGGGGAGAACTGGAGACTTTAGGGACCACGTGTCCTGCAGAGACTTTGTCCCCTGGTGGGGGCGCTGCGGCTCAGAGCGGAGCCAAGGCCTCTGCTAGCAAAGCTGGGACGCCAGGTGAGACACGGTCTTTATCCCACTGGCATGAAGCCAAAGACGATTTTAAAGATATTTTTAATAGCGATATGTATATTTCTAAGTAAATAAACTTGAAAAGGAGAATATTTGAGAATTAGAGTATTTATAGAAAAGATCTATAGTAGATCAAAGTTTCGAGTATATTTTGTTACATTTAAGAGTAATCAGTTTTGCAAATGGAAAGTAAAAAAATGCAGTGTTATCTTGAAAGAATTTCTTGTTGTTAAAATGTTATTAAGTAGTGTGAGTGTGTGTGAGAGAGAATGTGTATGTGTATTTTTTTAATTGTAGATTTTGTTACCAAACTCAAATGTCTTCTTCACGAAAGTGTTTGTTTTTAAAAACATAACTGATGATTTTCTGATGAGATAGTGTCGCTCCTGCCCTAAAAATCATACAGAGATCACAAATGCAATTGATAAAAATTTTATCGAACACTTTTAAGGAAAGAGACTACACTGGATGAAAATTGATAAGAGAATTGATAAGAGAATGATTATTAAAACAGGAATTCTGAACCCGGGGTGATTTTGCCCCTGGGGGACGTTTGGAGATGTTAGAAGACCCTGGAAAATGATTGAAGCTAAACATTTGCTTTGTTGCGTCAATCTTTGAAAGTTTTCACAACAAAATAGGAAAACTAAAAGTCAATGTTTTAGAAATAAAGTTTCCGCTGATGTGGTTTCCCACTGTCTCACACTTCACTCCAAAATATTGCTGCTGGAATTGTGTAGTCAACAAATATAAGAGTGGTAGTGTTGGTTTTCTAAAACATATTTTTCTTATTATAAAATTAACTCATCGTTCATTATAGAAAATATAGAAAACAGAAACATATCAAAAATAAAAATAGTAAGTACTACATCTTTATCATAGAAAACTAATATCAGTTCCTACCTACTTGCCAGCATTTTTTTTGGAGAACTACTCTTTTCCCCAGGCAAATTGAAATATGGTTTCTTCTGCTATGTAGCTTTTAAAAATTTTAAAGATAGATTTTCCCAAATTATTACATATCCATCATTTTATCATAAAACTTGCAAGAAGAGTTGATGATGCGAATAAATGTATAAAAAGGACAGGTTGTGGCACCACCCATTCTTTCAAAGCATCCTGGTGGACCTTTGCCAAGGCTTCGGTCAGTGCCGGGGTTTGGACGTACGTGACCTTAGCCAGCAGGCCTGGTTCCTGCTTATGCGGAACTTATACTGGATTGGGAGCAACAGATAACAAGCAAAGGAGCTTATTTTAAGTGGAAACGTGAAGTAGGTGAGTATGAGTTAGCCATGCAGAGAGTTGAGAGAATGAACACTCCAGGTAGAGCTACAAAATCCAGGAAGCTGGAAAGAGTTTGGTGACTTTGGGAGGAGGGGGAGGGGAAGGAGCTAGTGTCAAGTGGAGACAGGCAAGAGAAAGATTTAGAGAGATGGGGAAGGGCCAGGTCGTGTGGGAAAGCCACCGGGAGGCGGACAGGCTCGCGGGTGGGTTCTGCTTCATACTGTCAGAGCACCATCCAGCTGCAGTGTGACAGTGTTCTCCGGGCAGAGGACAGGGGCGGGAGGAGGCCGGGGGGAGACAAGGAGAGCTAGTGGCCACATGAGCAGTCCAGAGTTGATCATTCCTCAGGTGAGAGTAGCAACAGTGAGACAGAAGGCAAGGGGCGGACTTGACAGGTTAGACGCAGAAATTGTTAGTGATGTGATGATAAATTGCAAGACAGGGAGTTAGAAGTGGGACAGGTGGCAGATCACTCCCAGGGTTCAGGCTGAGCTGCCTGCAGGGAACTAGCACTACTGGAGATGGGGCACACTGAAGAAAAGCAGATAGTGGGCAAAGATCAGAGGACTGGTGTTTTGGACACGGTGAGCTTCGAATGCCTGTGACCCGTTCTCATATGATGCCAGGTGCCCAGTCCCGAACTACAAATATATCCAAAGGGATCGGATCTGGACATAATATTTTGGAATCATCAGCAAACTCGTATAATGCGCTATTCAGAGTTTAAAGCGTGTTTGGACTTGACCTTCCTGCCTATGGCAAACGCTGGCTCTCTGAGACACTGAGGACTCCTGGTGCCTGTAGGAACAGGTCTTTAACTTCCTGCGTTTGTGCACCTGGTTCTGTTTCCTACTGAAATGTGGACTCCAGCTGTGCAGTTGGATTTTTTTAGAAGTTCGTTCTGCCCCCTCTTTGCTTAAACCCCACGGTCCCGTGCCTCTTCCACTGCTGCCTCTGTTGGCACAAAGGAGAAAAGAAATGGGAAGCCGTGGAGTTGGCACTCGTGGGTATGAGTAATCGTTCCAGAGAAGAACGATTTACAGAATAAGTTAATTGGAAAGTACATCTGCGTCCTCGTTTTTTTCAAGGAATTAAATCTATTGATGAGTTACTGTTTGAGTATTTCTGTTTGATTCTCGAGTCGCGTCTGGTTCTCGAGACTGTATCGTAGCCAGCTCGTTTTCTTTCCCGGGGCGAGTAAATTAAATACGCGGGTTTCCTGTGTTCGCGGTAGGGTCGTCAGCACTGGGCAGCCCCCTTGGCAGAAGCCGGCACAGCAGCAGCCAGTCAGATCTGAGCACTCCCAGCAGCAGCTCGTCTGGTCTGAGCTTCACCGCGTGCATGTCCGACTTCTCTCTCTACGTGTTCCACCCCTACGGAGCAGGGAAGCAGAAGACCACCGTGTCCGGCCTCACGCCAGGATCCGGAGGGCTAGGTATGCTTAGCACATCTTTTCCAAACTTATAGCACGTTTTCAAGCTTTGATCTTTTCAGAAATCATGATAGATACATTTAATAATGGATATAAAATGATCAGAAGCTTTTAAACTTTTCTCCCAATGATATCTAGCCTGTCTCTACAAAGAAGTAGAAATATGAAATAAGTAATTCAGGTAAACTAATTATACAAGAGCCTTAAAACCCAGAGTATTTTCTAAGTGAAATGTACAGCACAGTAATCTCTTTGGACGTGAGGTTATTTATGTTGCTTAAATGTTTAACCGTATCAGAAAGTACATTCTACAAGAAATTATATTCTACAGATAGTAAATTACATTCTACAGATAGTAAATTTTTAAAGTGTGTGCATCACATTTGGTAACTTAAAATGAGACTGTTATTGTTGTCATTACTATTAGTTATTTAGAGAACCTTAAATTTCACTGGCATTTTAAAGTGCAGATTTACCACTAAAAATGCTCATTAGGTCATTCTTAAATGTTTACCTCACGTAAGTGATTTTAATCGATGGCACATTCCAGTGTTTTGGTTAATTTCATGTAACTAGATAGCTGTGTGTGTGTACATGTGCATATACACGTGTGTGTGTTCTCTTTAAAGGGAATGTGGACGAAGAACCCACTTCAGTCACTGGTCGAAAAGATTCACTGAGTATAAACCTTGAGTTTGTGAAAGTGAGTTTGTCTCGGATAAGGCGTTCAGGAGGTGCCTCATTCTTTGAAAGTCAGTCCGTAAACAAGCCTGCAAGCAAAATGGACACCACACTAATAAATATCTCCGGTATTCAATTTTACAGTGTTTTAATTAAAATATTGTTTTCCAGAGTTAAACAAGGGCCTTTTTAACAGCATTTAAATATTCATTTAATTTAACGATATTAAGCCTTAGTGATACATTGACGTGAAGCAGAGGACTAACAGTCCAGCCTAGTGTGCTCGCTCGGTCCAAGTGACTTCTATATAAATACATAGAAGTATCATCTGATGGCTAAAATACACCTAATTACATCACTGAAAACTGCTTCTTCACTTCTCTACCATGAGTTGGTGAAATGTCTGCCTTTTTATTTGATTTTCTAATTGTAAATTCTTGAAACACTAAAGGAAGAATGAGTTAAATTTTTGCTGCATGTCGTAAGATCTTGAGTTACGTGCACGTGTGTCGTAGGCTTTGTAACTAGCTATATAACTATGGGCAAAACACTTGAGCATCTAAAAATTAAATACATGCGGAACATTTTGAAGAATTGGGAGTACTATGTGGGTGAAAACTTAAAATTATTAATCAAACAAGTATAGTAAGTACCCTCAACGCAATATTCATTCAACAAACAGCTTGTGTTTTGTGGTGCAGGTGCGCCACGCAGCCCGCTAGGGGACCGAGGGCGCAGGCCTGAATAAGGCAAGGTCTTAGGAGTAGGCAGTTAGGTGGCAGCGTGATAAGAGCTACGATACAGGTTCATATAAAGAGAAGGAAACAATAAATTCTGTTTAATGTGAAAGATCAGAGATATCTTCACAAAGGAAATGATATTTGGGCCAGATCTTTACAATAGGAATATTCTTGGCTATAGCAACATGGTATTTAATGGCACAGAAGCATCAAAAAGTATGCTTTTGGATCACACTTTGGTTCACTGAGGCTGAAGCATAGGTATAACTGAACATTTAATGGGTTGTACAGAGTAGGTGGGGACAGAGGGTTGGCTAGACCTAGAGCTGGCGAAACAGAGCAGGACCAGACCGAAGCATAGGTATAACTGAATATTTAATGGGTCGTACAGAGTAGGTGGGGACAGAGGGGGAGAGAAGTTGGCTAGACCTAGAGCTGGTAAAACAGAGCAGGACCAGATGGGGGTGGCGGGGGGAGTGACTCATATGCCGGGCCACAGATAGGGTTCTGAGCCTTTGGGCAGGGAGAACTCATTAGAGGTTTTTAAGAAATGGGATGCCATCATCATCCCCAAAGAAACAATACTATATTGTCCATTTAAAAATCTGTGAGGATAGATCTCACGTTAAGCATTCTGACCATACACACACAAAAAGACTATATTGTGTATGGCTCATAAAATAAACGTGGTTACACACACAGAGAAGGGTCGATGTTTCGGATCCGCGCTGGAGGAAGAGCCGACGGCAGCACGAACAGTGGGAGAGGACGGGTGCTTGAGGGGGCTGTCGGAACAGACCAAGCAACAGGGCACAAAGGCCTGAATGGCGACAATGAAAAGGGTTCGGGAGAAATAGAGATCCACGAGCTCGGGGACAGATCACGTGAGGAGCAGTAGAGGAGACAGGGTTGCCTCACATTTTTAGCTCAGGGACTGAAGGGACAAAGAGGTCATTAACGTAGACAGGAAATAAAGAAGGAGGTGCCCCTCGGGGTCCATCGGTGGAAGGGTCCAGTAGGCAGTTGGCTGATGGATTGTGCGAATGGGCTCAGGCTGAAACCAGAACCTTCTATTTGGGCAACACGGTGTGACTGCTACAGCAGCTTGGGGGAGTGACAGGGCAGCATGCACGGCAGGGCAGCAGAGTGTCCAGGGCCAGTCGGGGGCGGCCATCGGAATGCTTCAGACCGATGAGTCTCTGCTCCGGGTGCAGAAGGAAAGGGGTAGTTCGGCCTCCCCGCTCTGTGGTTTGCAGCTGCTTTGCGGGCGTGTGTCCCAGCTCAGCCATGTTTGAAAAGGGCCCAGAGTTAACGTTGAAAGCTGTCGGCGAGACCTGTCTTTAGGACCTCTCGAAGAGCTTCCTGATGCAGCGATAATAGAATTCCAGCTCGCCCTCACCTCAAATGGGAATGGAACTAATACTGTTAGAATGTGGTGTTATTCCCATTTGTGGAAGGAACATGTTATCACTTACCAGTCATACTGTGCAACTTATTTTGGTATTTCATGAATTGTAACAATTATAATTCCATTGGGAAAAATACCATGTCATAGTATATCTACCACGTGAAAATATCAAAGGTTTTGGAAATCTGTTCTAACGAATTGTATTTGTGTGTGTGTGTGTCAGCCGTCTGTGACATAGGGTCTGCTTCCTTTAAATATGACATGCGCCGACTCAGCGAAATTCTGGCATTTCCAAGAGCCTGGTACCGGAGAAGTATTGCAAGACGCCTATTCCTTGGAGACCAAACTATAAATCTGCCCAGTAAGTTTGTTATGCAGTTGTAACTGTTTTGGTCACACAGACTTGGACCACGTGTCAGAAATGTCTGAGCCCCTCCAGCGTGCGCGGCACCGGGGCCAGAAAGATTACCTGCTCGGACGTTACGCTCAGCTGACTTTTATTCTATGACTGCTACTCTGTAACCTCTGTAAAATCCCGCAAATACATTCCCAGTCCACCATGGTTGGTTAGGCATGGAAAACAGAAAATGTCGGGCACATGGCATCGTGTGAGTGGTGGGCAGCATGATACAGTCGAAGGCGTTAGAAGTCACTCCTGTCACGTGAGGACAGGGCACTCTCAGCGTTTCTGGAGTGCACTTCGCAAACCATAAGCTGTGCAGTTGTCAGGCGGAGAACGGGAAGGACTGTGTAATGTGATTAGAAATGGTGGCGTGGTAAAATTTGTCGTTTCGTAACATGGCGACCCTACTGATGGTGTTTTCATGTCTACTTTTCTGTTAGCCTCTGGCCCGGGGACACCTGACTCCATTGAGGGGGTGAGCCAGCACCTGTCCCCTGAATCATCGAGAAAGGCTTACTGCAGGGCCTGGGAGCAGCCTAGTCAGTCAGCCTCCTTCACCCACATGCCTCAGTCACCCAACGTGTTCAATGAGCATATGACAAACAGCACCATGTCACCGGGGACAGCAGCACAGAGCCTAAAATCCCCAGCTTCCATAAGATCCAGGAGCGTGTCTGATTCTTCAGTTCCCAGAAGAGGTAACACTGCGCTCTTTGTTATCGGCAGCCCTCCAGTGCCCCCAAGATGATTTCGCTTTGTTACCCCCAGATTTTTGCCCAACTGCGGGGAGATAGACTCTTGCAGGTTTTCATGGGAGATGGGGGGCCCCCCCACACCAGATACCAAACAAACACCTCAAAGTATCTGCCAGCAGAAGAGACAGCCAGGTGGCTAGTAGCTTTGCAAAGGGATAGGGAGAGGAGACAGCATATTCTTAGGATGCCCCATAGGGTACAGTTGTTTTTAGAAGTAAAATCTGCAGTATTGTAAAACGTTTCATGTTGAAAGTTAATCTTTGTGTTCAGCCATTCTTTTATTCACCCAGTGATTTTTGAACTCTCATGTGCTCAGCACTCACCTTGTGTCTGAACATATAAAAATGAGTGCCATGTTCAGGTCACAGGTAAAACTGGAGTATGATGGGCAAATGCAGGATTCGAGACGTACATGGTCCGTGAGACACAGGCAGGCACGCAGCGGCTCTGCGTTTCAGACGGCCTGCCCGCACGCCCTCTGTGTGGCAGCAGACGCTTAGGGTTTCCTCCTAGGCGAGGAAGTCCCCGGGGTTGAATGGCCTGTGCTGCTGTGTCCCGTGCGCACCAGAATTCCCTCATCTAAAATGGAGGGCGCACAGGGCTTTAGGAGCTTTCAGGAAGAAGGGCTGCCAGCATTTACTTAACATTCAGTAAATGGCAACTATTATCTTTGAGGCAGTACGAAAGCTATTTAATACCAGGCTTGAATACAAGGAATTCCTTTTTATGTTTTGGATTATAGTAACGAATGGTTTTTGCTTTGTAATTGCTGAGCTTCAATGTGAATAAATTGTACATCGATTTTTCTGTTTACAGATTCACTTTCAAAAACATCAACTCCTTTTAACAAATCAAACAAAACAGCGAGTCAGCAGGGGACGCCGTGGGAAACACTTGTTGTGTTTGCTATCAACTTGAAGCAATTAAACGTTCAAATGAATATGAGCAATGTAATGGGAAACACAACGTAAGCTACTCAGATACAAAGAAAATATAACTAATCATTCATTTTAATTTTTCTTATATTGTGGTAAGGCAATTCAAAAACTTTTTTGATGCTGAAATGTTTGAGTCAGTAAAAACAGTACATAAAAGATTTAAAATTGTGTTATTCTGAAAATGGCTTAATCTAATCTTAATGATACTGTGATATAAAACAGCATGAAATATATGTTCTAAAAAGAGAGAAGCATATGGAAAATCGTGTAATTTTCCAGCTAAGAAGAAAGCCTTACCAGTAATGTTAATATTCGAACATTTGCCACAGTTTTTAGAAGAAGTGGATTTTATCGTCATACTTATTTGAAATCATCTGACTGTTGTTTAAATTCGTGATGCTGGGAGCCGTATGTCTAATTAATCACCCTGTCCTTTCTTTTAGGTGGACAACGAGTGGTTTGAAGAGCCAGGGCCGTCTGTCGGTGGGAAGTAACCGAGACCGGGAGATAAGCATGTCCGTCGGTCTGGGCCGGTCACAGTTAGATTCTAAAGGAGGAGTAGTTGGAGGGACCATAGATGTCAATGCTTTGGAGATGGTTGGTAGGTTGAAATTTTACAACTGAAAAATATATTGGAAAAACTTTTTAAAAATTGATTTTGATGAGTTTTTTCCCATTAGGCATTTGTGTGACAAGTAATTATTATTTCTATGTTAGCTCATATTTCTGAACATCCAAATCAGCAGCCCAGTCACAAAATTCAGATCACCATGGGTTCTACCGAAGCCCGGGTCGATTACATGGGCTCAAGCATCCTCATGGGCATCTTCAGTAATGCTGACCTCAGGCTGCAGGACGAGTGGAAAGTGAACCTGTACAACGCACTGGATTCAAGCATAACCGATAAAAGGTGGTTAGTGAAACTTTACTCTTCGAACGCTTTATGTGGCTGCTCAGCATCTTTTCTCTTATCCAATGAGAAAGCACTAGCAATTCATGTTCCTTGCAAAATGATTTTGTATTATGCAATTAATGTGAATGAAAAAGCTGGGTGGGGAGGAGAACTTTTCTTGTGCTTTTAAACTGTCTCTGTAAGATATATGTTAACGGCTGTTTTATGTTCTAGTGAAATTTTTGTCCATGGAGATTTGAAGTGGGATATTTTCCAAGTGATGATATCAAGGTCAACCACACCAGACCTGATAAAAATAGGGATGAAGCTCCAGGAATTCTTCACGCAGCAGTTTGACACCAGCAAACGAGCTCTGTCCACCTGGGGGCCAGTCCCTTATCTCCCACCCAAGACAATGGCAAATAACTTCGAGAAAAGTTCACAAGAACAATGTAAGAATTAGAACTAAGCCTTTAGATGTGCTTTCTCTTTCACTAAATATGTGCTCCAGTCTTCCTTTAACGTAATTAATAATACCCGTGGGCCACACTTAAAAAGTGATCCATGTGCTCTTGCCCTGCGCCCTCCCCAGAGTCCTTGGTTTCCTGCCCATCGGTGGAATCGGAGGCCGTCATTCATTATCTGCCCCACCCCCCAGCTCACCTACAATCACACACACCCTGCTGCCCGAATATTCATTATGACAATACCATGTTCTGGTTCAGAGTGTGGGCTATGGAATCAGACATCCGAGTTTGGATTTATCAGCTGTGTCCTATTAGGCTGATCATTATTTTCACTTAGTAATTCAATCAGCAGGTATTTATTAAGCGTGACCATGTCCTTAGGCACTGTTTTAGGCATAGGAGGTCTCTTAGTGCAGCGGTCCCAGACCTGTCCGGGGCCAGGGACCAGTGCTCCTATGAGAATCTAGTGCCTGATGATCTGAGGCGGAGCTGAGGCGGTGATGCCAGCGCTGGGGAGCAGCTGCAGACACAGATGAAGCTTCGCTCGCTCGCCCGCTGCTCACCTTCTGCTGTGTGGCCCGGTCCCTAACAGGCCACAGACCCCTGTACTAGTGGGCAAAGTTCCTACCCTCATGAAGTTTATATTCTAATGGGAGAGAGAGACCATAATTAATTTTCTAACTAAAATGCAGGATAAGTCCAGGTACGGAGGAATGCTGAGAAAAAGAACAAAGCAGGGGAAGGAAGTAGAGAATGAGGGTGTGTGAGGATGACTGTTTGAGAAGCGGGGTCAGGGAAGCGTTTTCTGAAGTGAAAGATCGAGGCTAAGATCTGGGGGGGCCGTTGCGGGGTGCAAGCTCCACGGCAGGAAGAAACTCAGTTTGTTTGAGGGTCATTAAGGTGGCCGCTGTGGAGGACAGAGTGAGCAAGCAGGACAGTGTCAGACATGAACTCAGAGAGAGGGGCTGCGGATGAGATTTTTAATATGCAAGGTAGTTATTGGAGAGTTCAGAACAGGTCTGATACCGATCTACTTTTTCTTAAAATATTCCTTTTTAAAGCGTCACTCCGGCTGCTATGTGGAGAATAGGCTACAGGTGGTTGAGAATGAAGTGAGGAGACCATGTGCAGTAATTGCCATCATGTCCCACACAGTTACTTGACCACAGCATGGAGGCCACTGCAGAGGCCAGGCAGCAGGTCATGGTGGCTTTCACTAGAGGAGCAGAGGTAAAAGTGGTGAGAAGATGTCAGAATCAGGATAATTTTTAACAATTTAATAAATAATCATTTTAAACAATTTCTTCTCACAGAATGAGTACTTGTGCACTGAGAAAAAAATGACAAAATACAGAAAAGCAAAAAAATAAAAAGTCCCATTCCACCTAGAGATCATCACTGTGAACACTAGAGAGCTTATACTTCCAGATACTTTTCTCTGCACCTAGATACATACATATGTGTACTTTTTGCCAAAATATTGTTTTACTCTAAAATTGGTATCGAGCATATACAAGGAGGTTTCCCAAAATGCGTAGCCTTTAAAAAAAGTCCTTGTCATGGAAAACCAGCAGGCTTAGGGGATCATTTCAGGTTCCAGGACACTGAAGAGAGATGCCAACTAAGTACAGAGCATGTTCCCTGGTTGATTCCAGAATGAGAGTTGTGGGAAACAGCCGAAAAGGCCATTACTGGCAGAAGTGGGAAACATAAATGAGTACTTCCCAGACTCCACGGAGCATCTGAAATGCCTGGGGGTCTTATTCAAATGCAGATTGTGATCCAGTAGGTGTGGTGTGGACCTAAGAGTCTGCATTTCTAACAAGCTCCGGTGATGCTGGCAGTCCTTAGACCTTACGTTGGAGTAGCAAGGACATAAAAAAGGAAAGAAAGCACCTAAAATCGGGTCTTCTGAGTCACTTAACCCCTCTTCCGCTTCACTCGACGAGTCTAGATGGAATACCTAGTTGACAGAGTTACTGAGAGAATTGTGTAAGATTTCCTGCAAGCACTTAGTAAATCATTAGTGATTACAGTGGTGTCGGTTGAAATTATCGTTAGTAAGTTACTGTTTTCCTTAGGTCCGCCCATCGCAGTGCAGCTTCTTTTCCCAGACTGTGTCTTTTTTACCTTCTGCTAAATGTCAGGCAGGGGTCGGAGTGTCGTTTTTATCCCTTAACTGAGTCTCTGCAGCTGGGGAAAGTAGCTGCCCGCTGCCTTCCTGCTGCCAGGTGGGCGTGCATGAGGCACTTGGGGATAAGTGGTTTTTCCTTTTCTTGCAGTGCTCGACGCAGCCCATCACCGGCACTGGCCCGGAGTGCTGGAGGTGGTATCCGGATGCCACATCTCCTTGTTTCAGATTCCTCTACCGGAAGATGGGATGCAGTTTGGGGGCTCCATGAGCTTACATGGAAACCATATGACACTAGCCTGTTTTCATGGTCCAAATTTCCGTTCAAAATCCTGGGCCCTTTTTCACTTAGAAGAACCAAATATTGCTTTTTGGACCGAAGCTCAGAAAATCTGGGAAGATGGTAATTTGACACATTTCAAGCTTTTACTCTTTCCTGTCTTCTGATATTATATGGCAAAGTAATTTTCCTTTCTCATCTCTTTTGTTTGTTATGTTTCTGAAGTCCATCTCTATTTGTTATAAGGTACCTGACCTGTCAAGGAGTTCACTGCCAGAGAGTCAGTATATTCTATAAAGTCTGGCAATGTTAAAGAACTTATTTCTGAACTTACCATTTACTGTTTCTTACTTAGGCAATTATCATTTCTGCTGCTGTGGCTGACCATAGTCATAATATTAGTTATCGTAAATATTTCTTATAAAAGCATGTACAGAAGACACACAGTGGTAGTAGTGTAAGGAAATTATTTGCCAGTCAAGACTATACTGTAAAACTTTTACGGGCAAGGCTATGCTTTTACCTCTATTTACAGTGATAACCCAGTTCTTTTTAGCTTTTCTTTCCTACTCAGTGGTTTCTTAATAATGAACAAAAAAAATGGTTGGTGCTCTCTATTTTTTTTTTAGTTATAATGATTTATTCTTACTGAGACTAAATCCAGTTATAACTAAAGAAAAATTGTGATTTTTTTCTCACTTATTTACTCCTCAATTTCACAATCCATCCTACTTATGTATGACTTAGCTAAACCTGTTGCTCTAAGGCCACGACTATTTTCTTGCATCTAAATATAGCCTGTCTTATTTTTCTTCCCTCTAGGCTCTAGCGATCATTCTACCTATATTGTACAAACACTGGATTTTCATCTGGGCCATAACACCATGGTTACCAAACCATGTGGCGCTTTGGAAAGTCCTATGGCAACAATAACCAAGATAACAAGGCGTCGCCATGAAAACCCACCCCATGGAGTGGCCAGTGTGAAGGAATGGTTCAATTACGTTACAGCCACAAGGAATGAAGGTTACATTTTTTATTTGTTTTTTTTTTTTTGTTTTTTTTTATTTTGAGCTCTGTTGACTGAGTCATTTAGAATATAAGTAGCAGAAGAATTTTCATTTCGTCAATAAAAGAAGTTTCATTTCACTCCTGCTAACATAACTAATGATAGTAGTACATGATTTCACCACCCTGGTAATGCAACTCTCGTAGACTGAAATTATTTTACATGTAACTGAAAACATTCAAAATAAAATCGGTCTAAATAAATGAAATTAAGCTTATGATAATTGGAAAAATATTTTCGTACTAATGCTAAACATTGGAGGTTTGGTAAAGTTATTACACAACTAAGCAATAGAATGCTACAAACTTTAAGATTCGGGATGGATAGAGTAAAATGAAACCAAATAATAATATTCCTATGAAGTCATAACTTTAAAGAGAGTGGCTTTAATGAGTTTTCTCATTTGATTAGATTTACCGGTCTTGTAATAATGTAGTCATGAAATTTTTTATTTTGCAGTTTTTATTTTCGAGTTTACAATACTGCTTTTACCAATCATTTTATTTGTATTGGAACAGTGACTAGATCGAGGCATGTTAATGTTTTACTTGAATGTTTTACTTAAAAATGAGTTTTCAAAATGGAAAAGATGATGACTTGGGCCCCACAGAAAATAGTTACTATGGAATAGGGAGCCCCAGGAATTAGACAGTTAAAAATGTTTTGAGAACAAAGGAATTAGAAGATTTTGCATTTATTGACTACGCTGCCTTCCAAGTAGAGATTTTAGGGAGAGGGCCTTTTTGGCTGGGATACTATGGAGGGGCTGTTAGCATATTGAACTGCTACCTGTGTACCTGGAAAAATGCCAATTTTTATAAGACAATCATAATGTAATCGTAGCACACACATTGGGGAAAATCAGGACTTCTGGTTTCAAGGCCAGGATCATATTTAATCGCTAATTCTGTAAGAGTGAATTATTTAATGTACGGAGAACTTTGAGATTAATGAAATTCTTAAATTCAGATATGAATTCAGTTGAGAATAAAATTAATTTCAAAGTTCAAGAAACAAAAACCAAAAGAAAAAAAAGAAATTAAAACCAAGAGGGATTATTAGATTTATCCAAAATCATGTTATAAAGCTTCAGTCTTGAGAATGATATATATCACTATTTTTATGTATATATATATATATACAAATCTCTACCTATATTAATGTATCACCATATTAACATATATAAATATATCTATACTCCTAGCCATATATATAGAGATATATAACTATTCTCAAGATCACAGCTTTATATGGCTCTATTTTTTTAAATGTAAAGTTTTCCAGCTTTTGAAATGACAATTCCGTGTATCATAGTGTCATGAAAGCTATAGGCTTATCAATCGATGCCTGTTGGTTAATCTGAGCAGTATCTTTGTTATTATGCACGCAGAGCTAAACCTGCTTCGTAATGTTGATGCTAATAACCCTGAGAATAGCACTATGGTGAAGAATTCCAGTTTGCTGAGCGGATTCAGAGGAGGTTCTAGCTACAATCACGAAACAGAGACTATCTTCGCGTTACCAAGGATGCAGCTCGACTTCAAATCCATTCACGTTCAAGAGCCCCAAGAGCCTTCATTACAGGGTACGTGGGAAATAATCTGCAGGTCCTACAGTGATGAGGGAAGCCTAGAGGAACTTCAAACTACTGCTGCTTTCCCATGAGTTACGTTTGTAATATTAATATAATCTGATGAAATCGATTTCCCGGGTCAAATTGATTTTTTTGCCAGCCATATGACCTCTGGCAGATTGAATCCATTTGTATCTCTTTCTCCTCAGTCAAATGGAGGATCCTAACAGGACTTCCTTCAAAGGGCTTTTATGAGTAATAAATGGCAGACGCTTAGAAAGTGCTTAGTAAACCATCATCATCATTCTGTCACACAGAAGCTGCCCCTTTGTTGTTGCATTTAAGTGGATGCACTTTCATGAACCTCTAAGTCCCTACTAACGGGAAGAGAAAGGGACTCACTTCATTAAGTCTTTATGATAAAAGGACTTTGCCCTTGCAGATGCCAACCTGAAGCCAAAGGTAGAATGCAGCGTGGTGACAGAGTTCACTGACCACATCTGTGTGACTATGGATGCTGAGCTCATCATGTTTCTCCATGACTTAGTGTCGGCTTATCTTAAAGAAAAAGAAAAAGGTGAGTAGCATGTTCTTGTTTATTTCCTCTTCTTTTAAGCTTCAGGGGAGGCAGCTGTCTGCCATTTTATGGATTTGTACAGTCTAATGATAAAACAAGTAGAATGTCTCCTTCCTTTATGAGTTGTAAATATCAATAAATAAATGAAATAAATATCAATATTGGTAAGACTATCTGACAGACTTCTGAGTATCTTCTAGGTACACAGCACTCTTTCAAGCCATGCCTCACATCAAATGATGTTTTATACTTTACAGAATGTTTCCATACACATATGTACATTATCAGGCCTTGTAGGAGAGTCTCACAAAGTAGGAAAAGAAAACCTCTTTGAAAAAATATTGCTAGTCAAAGTGAAATGACTCCAGAAACAACTACACGATAAAGTAGCATGAGTTATGTACATAATTGGGAAAACTAAATTAAATAAGATAAATCTGTTTAGAATGCAGAGAACATTTTCTTTTTATAAATATTTCGACCTCAGTGGCGTTTGCTTTTATGAGTTGATGTTAGTTTACTCACTAGAAACTTAAATGTTTGCCCATTAAGAAACATACGGTGACCCTAATACTCATGTGAAATTGCTTGAATATATATGGTGTGTCCAGACAATGGGATTATTTAAAATAAGGTAGTCTGAAATGTAGTACTATGGAATGCTCTCCAAATACATGGCTTGTACTTACTCAATAAGTAGTACATGAATGTAGAACAGTAAAACAACAGGTGTGATTTTTAAAAACCGCTTGGTATAGATAGATGCACAGGCACACCTCGGAGATCCTGCAGACTCGGTCTCAGACCGCCGCAATAAAGTGAGCGTCGCAATAAAGCGAGTCACCACCTTTTTGCTGGTGAAGGCTCTTGCCTGCGGCGTGTAGAAAACGCGGCACCTAATGAACGCAGTAAAGCGAGATGTGCCTGCCGTATGCTCAGGGTGCACTGTAACACTGCTTCCTTTTCTCATGAAGAAATAAGTATAAAGTTTGTCTTACAGGTATTTCAAAATAGCCTCATGATAAATGTCTGAGTGAGGACAACAGAAAGAAAGATTATCGAGAGGCCATGTTGAAAGAGTGCAGAGGCAGCATTGCATAGATTGAACTGCTCTTCCATGTCCGTTCAATCTAGATCTGCTAGAAATTCAGTGTGTAAAATCAATAATGATGGCTGGGACAAAGCTATGAGACAGTAGTTGAAACTTCAAGTAAAATGATTGAAACCATATAACAAGAAATGTTATATATATTGTAAGTACATTTAGTCTTCACATATGGCACAATACACCCGTCACTGGTAATCCTCTTGTTTTTCTCTCCACCTTAATATTTAAACTTAATATGGAGAAAAACAGACCCTAGATAAACCTCTGAGGTTCAGAGTTCGCTTCTAGTCTATCTGGACGTGAAAGTCTGCCAGATTTCTTTCTCTTGGGTCTTATGTGAAACCGTCATTTTATGAAATATTGTGTTGATCTTGGTCTGCCACGAACTGCATGTATTTCTAAAAAAAAAAAAAAAGAAAGAAAGAAAGAAAACTTTGTGGTATAATTTGTTGTAAAACATTTCAATGGGAAAAGGGAATATGGACTTATAATATTTACAATAACAAAGTTTTATCTTTGGGGATTTTAATTATAAATAAAAATATTTTAATAGTTATAAGCATGTTGTTATTAAAAACTAAAAGCAATTACTTTTGGCCAAAATAAATGTCAACATGCCTGAGAAAATTCTTAAACAGCATGTAAGACTAGACCAGAATCAACAATAGTTCTAGGACGTCAAGATAAATTGTTAGCACTGTAACCACCACCAGTAATAAAAGCAGAGCAGGTGAGCCGGCAGTAACTGAAGACACCATGTCCTTACATAGCGTGACAGTATAGCTTCATTCCTAGATTCACTCCCAATGTATTATCCCTTCTCCTAATTCCCAATGAGGTTATAACCAGAGCTCTACAATGCAACCGTATTACCTAATTAATCAGTCATTTTATGCCCAGAGTTGTTTTGAAAACCTGTGCCCTAAGAGAAATGCTGTGTTTATTAAAGATATATGAAAGCTACCTTTGTTCGGTTCAATTTTATATCTATTATTTGATTGCCTATTATTTGTGACCTGTCGTAAAACATTTATGTAGTCACTATGTAGAATGAACAGGTTGCTTACATTAAAAACTCCTAAGTTAATACCCCTGTTTAAGTATATGTATAGCCATTAACATATACTAAAACCATTGAATTGTGCATGCTAAATGCGTGAATTGTATGGTATGTGAATTGTATCTCAATAAAGTTGTTAAATGCCATCCTCCTACGGCCATTCTTTAGAACATCTACAACTGTCCATTTCAGTGCCCTGTGCCCGCTATCAAATAAATCTCAGCAGTCTTTACCATTAGCTTCAGGCACACAAATATATGCAAAACATATACTATTACTCAAAAGTAAATGATGACATATTACTTCTAATTGTAAGATAGTAATTTTGATACTGTCTTCAAGCAGTACCAATAATTGGCACATATTTATGGCTTATTTAAAAATATTACTTTTTTAAAAGTATAATGAAATGAGGTTTTGACTAGTTCATAAGTAAAATGATAAATAGAGCCAATTATTCTATTCATATAGTGATTTAAAAGAAGTTTATAAGGTATATATTTGCATTATTAATCTATCTTTTCCATTATAGCTATTTTTCCACCTCGGATTTTATCTACTCGACCAGGACAGAAAAGTCCAATTATTATACATGATGACAATTCCTCTGACAAAGACAGAGAAGACAGCATCACTTACACTACTGTGGACTGGAGAGATTTTATGTGTAACACGTGGCATCTAGAGCCCACTCTTAGGTAAGAAGTAGCGAGTGTATATATTACCTATATCCTGTGGGATTATTTTGAGGAAAAGGTTATAAACTATGTATCAGGTTAAATACTTTTTATCACAAAATAATTTTAGAAGTTAGTCAAGTGTAATCTCGCAACACCTGACTGCAATTTTTGCTGTTCCTTTCTGCTTTGGTAAGTGTTCTAGGCAAGGCAGCAGCAGTACAAAAATACTGAGAATAGCTCAGTGCTGATCAGCTGTCCACTGTGTGACATTTTGTCAGTTAATCACCAAAATACAAGAATAACTCCGTTTCCATAGTTGCTGTTATCTTTTCACCATCTCACCGAAATGTTATTTTCAGGTGCTTGAGGTACCTACAGTAAACTGTTTTGTTACTGGGTTTGGGAAGATGCGGTCGTAGATGTCATACATCATGAAGGAACCGTTACAGCTTATCACATATGTCGTGACAATGTACTAGGACCTATAGTGTCACGGTGTCTTTCTGTCTGCATCTAACACAATAATAAAACCATCCCTGAAATGTAGAATTTAATGCTGTCAGATTCAGGTCCCTTTACTGAGTCATGTTCTATTACAATCATGATCCCAGTTAACTTGTTTTCATACCAAAATTTCAAAAGTATTTTCTAATTTTAGTTGTTTTTATAATTGCTGCCATAACTAGCAGCACTTGCTTTGCATGTCCTTGTTTGTGATGAACACTCACGACCTTCTTCCTATTTTTCCCTTTCCTCTCATTTGCTTTTTTCATCAAACAATAACTGTGTGAATCATGGAATAACAGTATCAAAAAAAGTCCATCACACTCTACAACATTCTGCAGAATGATACGAATTTCATTCAGATAAGGTTATCATTCAGACATGTGTATACCAAAATAATTCCTAACTAACAAAATTTCCATTTACAGTGGACTCCTGTGTAAGCAGAAAGTAGTAACTTTTTTAGTAATTTGTAGTCAATAAAATTTGTTGTAACCAAATCAAAAACACTTTGGTATTAATAGTACATATATGCATGAGAAATATTAACAGTATCTTTTAAAATGAGCATAAAAATAGTTAAGTTTGCTATAAATATCTTCCTTTTCTCAGCACACTGTCATGAAACTAGTTATGGTGTAGTGGTGGACGGCATGGCTAAGAGCAGTGGCTCTAAGCCCAGCTTTGTAGCTAAGTGACATTGCCCGAAGGGCTTAATAACACCCCTCTCTGCCTCGGTTGCCTCATAGGAAAAAATGTAGAAAATGGTATTATCTGCCTTGTCGGGTAGTTATCATGGTTAAATGAGTTAATTAAAGCAAAATGCTTATAACTTAGCAGATCAGTGTTGAATATGCCCCTTTTCCCTAATTCATATAGTGGGAGAGGAGCTGATAGAAGTCAAAATGACAGTTACTACTGATAAAGCTGGTAACAGACTGTGGTTTGGATGTCTGGCAACAGTGGCTTTCTACTGCAGAATCCAGGTGTGGACTTAACCTACAGGATCTCAGTGATGCCACACTGGAGGTGGGGAGGGGGCGGGCAGGGGCTAGAGTTGTGCCATCAGCAGCCAGACTTGTGTGCTTACCTAGCCCCAGGCAGCCTGAACAGTCTTGAACTCATCTATCTAGGGGCCCGTCCTTGAAAAACCTGTGCAATAAGGAACAGACCAAAATGAATGGTTCCCAAGCGAAGCTGGAGGGTGGGTACTGAACTACATTACTCGGTTCCCGCATTAATTTTCCAATCAGATATGTCATCAGTAAGGGGGCACAGAAAGGCCAGGAGTGTTCACTAATGGCTGTTCCTCTCTATGGAAATACCAAGAACAGGAATAAATGGTTCTTTCTTTTGATATGTTTAGCACATAGTAAACAGTGTATTTTAGCCTTTTTTCCCCCACCATTATGCCACATACTGTTGAACTCTAATTTTTCATCTTTATTAGATGTAATTAATAAAATAGCTATTTTAAGTGTACATCATCACGATTTCATATATGTATACACTGTGAAAGGATTCTCCCCATCAAGTTAATGAACATCTTTTAGAATGAACCAGATGTCCTTTAAATGTTTAAGATGACTGTGTAACTTGAGGTCTAAATAAATTAATCAGAATAAAATCCACTAAACTCCATTACTGTGTGTAGGTTTATCAAAGATACTTATAATCACACATTTTTTAATGCTATTATAGTGAATCCAGGAATTGTAAATTATTCAAATGCACCTACTGAAAATATTTTGTCTTGAGCACATTGTGAAGGTTTAATGATGCTCTCAAACTTACCGTCAGGACTATGCTAGCACACTGTACTCCTAATTATTATTTATAATTATTTTAGATTAATTTCTTGGACTGGAAGAAAGATTGATCCAGTAGGCGTTGATTATATACTTCAAAAGTTGGGCTTTCATCATGCCAGGACTACTATTCCCAAATGGCTTCAGAGAGGAGTCATGGACCCACTGGACAAGGTTCTGTCGGTTCTTATCAAAAAACTCGGTACTGCACTGCAGGATGAAAAGGAAAAGAAAGGAAAAGACAAAGAAGAACACTAAGACAGCAACTTGATCTGTGAACAAATTATCCGTTAAGTTTTATTACACTGAAGTGTATTTTTTTTTTTGTATAATAAAATTATTTAAAATATAACTTTAAAATAATTCTAATTTTGTGGCCATTAAAGGTTTACAAGTTAACCTGTTTATTTTAGTTCCACTGTTCTGGATACAGTGAAGTATTGCATGATAATGTAAATTTTGTGAAAAACTAGATTAAAATATATCCATCTCAGTAGGGTTTATAATTGTATTATGTGCAATATGATTCCTGCATCTTAAAATATTTTCAGAATAACTGTGAATTTCCTGTTATTGGCCATAACTTTTAGAAAAAAATCTTGTTGATAATGTGATTTTTTTTTGGTAATTAATTGCATTTTCTTTTTTTAAAATATAGACTTGTATAAATACCTATTTGTATATAGTTTGAGTAATTGTGATATGATTAAATACCACTAAAATATTGTTTGTAACTATTGTAATAAAGTCACAATAATTGGTTTCAGTCTGTAGTAGTTTTTGAGTCTTTTCTTCCTTTTATAGATTATTTTTATAACTAATAGATGCCTACCCTGTGTCAGTTATTAAATGTTTTCATAGAAAATAGTTAATACTTATAAAAATAAAAGACTTATAAAATTAGCTCGAGGAGGATGCAATCAGAGAGGCATAGCAGAAGCTTCAGCAATACTAGGTATTATTCTATTTCTTAAGCTTGTAGTCAACACAGCTGTTTGTTTTTATTATAACACTTTAATATGTACGTATTTCATGCATATGAAGGTACATGTATAAAGCATATTTTGTGCTTGTGAGGGTATATATACAATGTACATGCATTAGCATAATAAGATTTTAAAAGACTAACAATCTAAAATAATACTCAAAAGTAACTATAATACTGTTACTCAGAACTCGGGTTTAAAATCAGCCAAGTCAGTACCATCAGTTTAAAGGCTGAATAAACAATAGAATTGAAGATCTTAAAGCTAAAGGACAACTCTCAAGAAGCCTCTGGTGCAGACACTTGCACTTAGGTAGATAAGGCAGTATACTCTCTGACAGCTTTAAAAAAAATTTTTTTAAACCTCCAGGAGAGCCAAGATACTTAGCCAGCCAAGGGCATATATAGATATATAGTGTTAGTTGGTGCATTAAGAATTGCTCTCTATTGTCACACAGCAATCTAGTAACACAACTAAAAACAAAACCCTAGTGACTAGAGCTGTAATTTTGCCTTCTTTCTGCTTGACCACCTTACCTGTTACCTGCCTGATCTCTGTATCCATCCTCAATCACCCCTACAGTTGAGGGCTACATGAATATTAGCAAATTCTTTTGGATCTAGAGTCTAAGATAAGACTGCCAGAAAGTAACTTCATAAAACAAAGTAACTAAAAATTAAATTAGTTCCTTACTTGAGTCCTACTTCAGGTATTAATTCTCTGCTTCAAAGAAAAAGTTATGCCAGTAAGTTCTAAATGTTAAAAATTTCCCATGGCTTTAAATATTATTGATGTATGAGATTACAAAAAAATGACATAAGTATAAACTTACTCTATTTCTGGCATTTACTGTGATAATGCTATAAAAAGAGAAATTTAAATCTGCAACTATTCAAAATTTCTGTGTCTCTGTTGGACAAGGCTTTGAGAAAACCATATCCATGCATTGTTGGTGGGAATATAAATTGCAACATTATGGGAATTCCATAGGGGAAGAGAAAGTATATTTAAAGCAATAATGTCTGAGAACTTCCCAAACCTGGGGAGAAAAATGGACATCCAGATCCACGAGGCCCAAAGGACTCCAAATTGGTTGAACTGGGCTAGGGTTACATGGAGACACATTGTAATTAAATTATTAAAAGTCGACAATATAAAGAGCAGCAACAGAAAAGTTACATACAAGGGAACCCCACAAGACTATTGGCAAAATTCTCAACAGAAACTTTTCAGGCCAGGAGAGAATGGGATGACATATTTGAAATATTGAAAAAAAAATAACTGTCAACCAAACATTCTATACCTGGTGATGTGGTCCTTCAAAAACGAAGGAAGGAAAAGACTTTCCCAAACAAAACCTAAAAGAGTTCATTACCACCAGACCTGACTTAAAGAAATGCTAAAGGGAATTCTTCGAGAGTGAAAAAAAATGCTAATTAACATCATAAAAACATAGAAAGGTAGAGTAAATCTCACTGGTAATGGTAAATACATAGTCATAGATTCTGCAATGTGGTAATACTGGTATATAATTCATTTACAACTAAATGTTAAAAAAAAGTAATAAAAATAACCATAGCTACAATAATCTGTTATTAGTTACACAGTAAAAAACAAACAAACATGTAAATTGCAACAGCAATAAGCTAACGTGTGAAGGGGAGAAGTAAAAGTGTAAATTCCACAAATTCCATTGAAACTATTATCAGTTTAAAATAGGGTGTTACAAGTTTAAGATTCTATGTAAGCTTCATGTTAACCACAAAGGAAAATCCTGTAGTAATTATACTTTTAAATGAGTCAAACCATAATGATAACAAAAGACATCAAAACAAAAAAGCAGGATAAGAAACAACAAATCTATAAAACAACAAAATGACAATAGTACTTACAAATAATTAAACATAAATGGATAAAATTATCCAGTTAAACATAATGGCTGAATGGATTAAAAAACAATACCCAAGAAGATACTATTTTAAAGAGACTTGCTTTAGCCTTAAAACATACATAGAGACAGAAAAAGACATGTTAAGCAAATGTTAACAAAGATAAAATAGACATTAAACTAAAAATAGCAAAAAGGCAAGGTCATTATATAATAAAGGGGTCAATAAATCAAGAAAACATAACAATTGTAAATATTTATGCACCCAATATTGTAGTACCTAAACATGTAGAAGTAAAAACTAAGAAAGTTAAAAAGAGAAACAGTAATATAATAATTGTTGGGGACTTTAATACTGCACTCTCAATAATAATTAGATCAACCAGACAGAATCAATAAGAAAACAGAAGATTTGAACAATGCTGTGGATCAAACAGACCTATCAGATATTTACAGAACAGTCCAATAACAGCAAAATACATATTCTTCTCAAGCACACATGGAACATTTTCTAGGACAGACCACGTGTGAAGCCATGAAACAAATTTTAGTAAATTCAATAACTTTGAAATCATACCAAGTATCTTCTGACTACAGTAGTATGAAACTAGAAATCAATAACAGGAGGAAGTTGAAAAATGTTCATGAAAATTAAGCACTATCATGAACAACTAATGAATCAAAGAAGAAATTAAAGGATAAGTAAAAGTTTCTTAAGACGAAAATGGAAACACAATATACCAGAACTTGTGGGATGCAGCAAGAGCAGTTCTAAGAAGTAAGTTCACAACAATAAATGCCTACATTAAGAAGCCAAAAATGTACAGTGGGGAAATGTTAGCCCCTTCAATAAATAGTACTGGAAAAACTGGACAGCCACACATAAAAGAAAGAAATTGGACTACTATACCATACCCAAAAATTCAAAATGGATTAAAAACTTGTACATAAGACCTGAAATTATAAAATTAGAAGAAAACAGGTGGTAAGCTCTTTGACATCAGTCTTGGTGATGATTTTTTGGATCTGACACCTAAAGTAAAGGCAATGAAAACAAAAATAAACATGTGGGACTACATCAAACTAAAAAGTTTCTGCATTGGAAAGGAACCCATCAACAAAATTAAAAAGCAACCAATGGAATAGAGAAAATACTTACAAATCATATATCTGATCAGATGTAAATATTCGAAAATATATAAAGAACTTAATACAACTCAACAGCAACAACAACAACAAAACAATCCAGTTAAAAAACGGAAAGAGGATCTGAATAATTATTTTTCCAAAGAAAACATACAGTTGGCCAACGAATACATGAAGTTGCCTAATAATTACGGAAATGCAAATCAAAACCACAATGAGATACCACCTCACAGCTGATGGACTAGCTAGTACCAAAAAGAAAAAAATAAGTGTTGGCAAGGATGTGGAGAAAAAAGAATCTTTGTGTACTTTTGATGAGAATGTAAATTGGTACAGCCACTATGAGAAAGAGTATGGAGTTTCCTCAAAAAATTAAAACTAGAACTATTACATCATCCAGTACTCTCTATACTATTTATAATTCTTCTGTAAATACAAAAGTATCTCAAAACTATATATATGCTTTATTTTCAAGAGTAATTTATACCCATTCCCTTTGCTGCTTGAGCTATTTCCATTCCATATCCCTCCTGAAATTTGATCCTAATATAATTACATATTTTTGTACTTAAAAATTTTTACTCATCATTCTTTTCATACTTCTTGGCAACAAGTCAATTTTTTTTTTTTAAATTTACTGTAAGCAAAAGTTTCTAAATGTTAAGAAAAAATTCTGGGTTATTATTAATGGCACTTGATCAAAGCAGCATAATCAACACATTTTGATTACAACTAAAGAAATATGCTTTTACTGAAAAAGCATTGCTTAATGAGAGGAATGAGGCTGTTTTTTTCTTCCAAATAGTTATTTGTGGATGGGTAATATTTCTTGCTAGAGGCAGAATACCATCAATTCTATTGTTATTTTTTCTTTCCTTCAGTTAAAATGTTTTAACCCTTGAGAAACCTTGTATTTAAAAAAAAAAAAAAAAGCGGGGCATTTCAATTTTCTTATAAACAACGTCACTCAATTCCTTGACTTCCTTCTGGGTTAAGTGCCAAAACTTATTTAGTAATTTACTATTAAAAATGTTTTTGGTGATATCGGCTAGCAAAAATGCTTTTGGTGATATCGGCTAACACCTCCGTGAGGTCCTCCTTCAACTCTCACGAGAACGAAGAACTGAAAGCGCGTCCCCGGGGAGCCGCGAGGCGACGGCCTGGCAGCCTGGAGGAGGCGGCCCGGGCGCAGGGCCCT